GGTGGACAGTGAACTGGGCACCTGGGAACACCAACTGCGGCGCATGGAGATGGACAAGACTCGGGGTGGGCCCAGACGTGGTTGTGAGGAGGGGACTCGTGCGGGGGTGGGGGTGGGAATGGGGATGTCAGAGCATTGGGAACATAGGACAACCCTCCCACCTGCCCAGAAGGCATCATACTGGTCTTGAGACACCTGCCTGCTTCAGACCCCGGCCCACTTCCCTTGCCTGCAGGGCCTTGGGTGAGAATCTCTGTGCCTCTTTTTCTTCCATGGTGAAAGGGGCAGTTCTCAGCACAGCACTCAACAGTGCCACCTGAAGGAGCAGGTGCCCAAGTCAAGGCCTTAGCCAGCTGCACACTGAACCTCTATGCGTTAGGGTGCCGCTTTCCACCCCTTATTCTTTTCTCCCTCTCTGGGCAGAGTGGGCTGAGCAGCTGACCAAGATGGGCCGGGGAAAACACTTCATTGGAGACTTCCTGCCACCAGACGAGTTGGAAAAGTTCATGGAGACTTTCAAGGCCCTGAAGGTGAGCTGGGAGGGTTTGGGGCCTCATCTCCAAGCCCCCGTCTTGGGCCATCCAGCTCTCCCGCTGCCTACTCACCTTGCAGTGCCTGCTGGCCTGAGCACTCTCGGGGGAGCTGGCTCTCCTGCTACAAGAGGCATCTGTTTATGACAGACGCTGTCTGTGTAGGGAATTAGCAAATAGAAGCTCAGCTGCCACTTTAGAAACATTTCCTGGGGCTTTAGAGAAATTCTTCTTCCAGTGGAGCCAATTAAGTGCCTTTATAGGCTGTGTTTCTCAGGCAGAAGCCCAGCAGACAGGCTTTCCAGGGGAGAGTTAACTGTTCCTCCTGTGCCATGAGATTCTTTGAGGAGAAATGGCCAATCTGCTGCATCCCATGGGGCCTTTTGGGGGTTTTGTAAAATTTCGTTGTCCTTATAACCACATCACAAGATGGCCTTCTCACTGACCATATTTCCTTTTTAGTACTCTGTAAGATGGCACCCTTGAAACAGGGAGTTTGGCTTTGTTGATTCATCTTTCCCATGGTGCTTGCAGCCTTTGTGACCCTGTCTCTTTGTCTTGGCCAGAAGGGAGTTCACTAAGTTTGGCTCTCAGGACCCTGACGAGGAGGAGCTTGATTCATTCTGAGGCATCTGACTTGGGAAGGGAATAGACGGGCAGGTGGTCCTAGCAGCCAGTGTCTTCAGTGGGGGGTTTCCAGCTGCTGCTCTCATGGATAACAGTGCCTTCTCGCCCTGCAGGAGGGCCGAGAGCCTGACTACTCAGAGTACAAGGAGTTCAAGCTGACAGTGGAGAACATCGGCTACCAGATGTTGATGAAGATGGGCTGGAAGGAGGGTGAAGGGCTGGGCTCAGAAGGCCAGGGCATCAAGAACCCGGTGAACAAGTGAGTGTGGCCAAAGAGGGTGAGGGAGAGGGGAGTCCCAGAACTCCATAAACAAGTGAGTGCAGTTTCTGTTGGATGCAGAGTAAAGTCCCACTGGGAGACACAGGCCCATTGACCCTCCTCCCACAGTGTTATGTATATTCTCTGAGGATGTCCCTGCCTCATCCTCACCTCTATCTGCATTGTGGTGCTGCTGTTGAGCCCAGCCAGGTGGGATGAGGCTCCCTTCTTCAAACGTAGGCCCTGCACCACCTCTCCAGCCTGCTGGCACCAACCTGGACCCCCTGCTCACACTTCCCATTGTCCCTCTGCAGGGGAACCACCACAGTGGATGGCGCCGGCTTCGGCATTGACCGGCCAGCTGAGCTCTCCAAGGAAGATGATGAGTATGAGGCCTTCCGCAAGAGGATGATGCTGGCCTACCGCTTCCGGCCCAACCCCCTGGTGCGTGTGTCCCATCCTCACGTGGCTGCCCCACAGCCCATGTGCTCCTCTCTTAAGTGTCCCTCCATCCCCACTCTAGCTAGGTAAGACCACACCAATGACTCCCACCTGCCACTCCCCAAACCTGCCCTCCCCTTTCAGGGGTATGAACTCAGCTGCCTTAGAAGATTCTGAATGGGAGGAGCTGTCTGTTTTCATCATTAATCCTCCCCTTTTGTCTTTGCATTACCCCCAGAACAACCCCAGACGGCCTTACTACTGAGTGTTGTGGAGAGACACCAACATATTTCAAGAACCCGGCGTTCCTGGACTGTGGAATGTTCCAGCCTGCATTTCTGCCTGCCCTTCCATTGTTGCCAGTGTTGTGCCGTATATTAAAAGTCCCAGTGCTTGCCCACTTTGGCAGCCTGGTATTGCCATCACCAGAAACCCCTTCTGTTCTTTACCTGGGGCAGGCGGGGTGGGGACAGGATATTATGGTGAAGCTATGCAGGGTAGCACCTGGCCCTCTGTTTCCCATCAGCCTGGGTTGGAGTTGTGGGGAGGTCCTTTGGGGCTTCCTCTGGAAGGGGGGAAGTGAAGGGTTCTTAGTATGTAAACCTCCAGGATGACTGAAGGACCAACCCTGACCTAGCAAGCATCTCCATGCAGGGGGGAAGTAAGGGAGGGGTCCTGGTCATGGCCTGATCCTCCTTCAGACCTTTGGGGCAGGTGGTCTCAAGGCACAACTGTGCCCCTCATCTCACCAGTAAGTGACTCTGGCTGTGGATGGCTTAGGCAAATGTATGTCCTCATGTCTCTGAAGCTGGTGCTCATATTTGTGTAAAGACAGTCTGATAAACAGTAGAGAGGAACTGGCACTGGAGAAGTTGACCTGGGTAGTATTGGATGAGGAGGCTCCCACAGAGCCCAGGTAGGGGTAAACCACCTGCCCTATCTCCCCTCCATGGACACTGCCAGAGGCAGGACAAGGGGGTGACAGGCCAGGTCCCAAGGCATGGTAGTTCTGTTTGGGCACACACTGGTTCCAGTGATGCCAACCCTGGGCCTTGCTGTCAAGCACCCAACCACTGAATTCTTGGTGAAGCTCACCAGACCACTCTGGGCTTCTGTCCCACGTGGGTGGGAGAGGAAGAGGAGAGCTCCAAATGTTTTGTAAAGGTGCCTTCTGGATACAGTGAAAAGCTAAGCCCCTACATAGCTGGCTGAGTCATCCTTGGCCTTGCAGGAAGGCTGGGGCAGGGGTGCCTGGGCGGGCTGTTTGGAGGAGAGGGCATTTGGAATGTACTTCCAAGAAGTGAGAACATATGAGAGGGTCCATCTTGGAAACTGGCAGAATGGGTGTCAGCACCACTAGACTTGGGAAAGGTCAAGAATTGAAGCTAGGGCCTCCCCTGTGGTGCAGTGGTTGAGCGCTGGGTTGCGAAGCTGCCCGCAGCCTCTGCAGCGCCGTTTCGATCCCCGGCTGCTCCCCGGCCATGGGAGGAGGGTCCCACATGGCGCGCAGACCTCTCTGCCGCCTGCTGCTCCCCTCAGCAGTGTACTTCAGTCCTTCTGCCTGCTCTGGCTCTGGTGAATTCTCTCACCCTCCCGCGCTTCTGACTGTACCCAGTGCTTGTATAAATAAATAAATAAATCTTAAAAAAAAAAAAAGAAATAGAAGAAGCTAGAGGGCTTCCCAGGTGGCATAGGAGTTAAGTCTCAACACAGTAAAGCTCTCGGCAGCCTCTGCAATCCTGGCGAGGGGGCTGACCTACATGGCACAGCAGACCGCTCCTGTCTTGCCTGCTGCTCCCCCTCAGCAGTGTATTTCAGTAGCTCTGCCTGTTCTGCTCTCTGCTCTGTCTCTGGTGAATCCTCTCATACACACATCCACCCCCACACCTCTGGCCTATACCCCAGTTCTTGTATGCATATATAAAATCTTAAAAAAAAAAATGAGGCTAGAGCCTTAAATCAGCCCAAAGGACCTGAACTTAACTCCATGGGTCCTACACATCTGGTTGTCAGGTCAGCCACCAGCTTGTTACCTGGACTCGTGAACCCAGTTGGCACAATTCCAAGTAGCTGCATGAAGAAGTTCTGGAATCCTCCAATTCCCACAGACTGGGTACACTTGGGGTGGGAATCGGGCACTGTTCACTCTGCTTCCAGCAGCAACAAGTACATGGATAAGAACTGAGGTTGGGGGTGATGGCAGCAAAAACAAGAGGCTGCCTCCTGATCCTCATACTGCAGTTGGGTCCCTAGTCCAGATCTCTCTTTGTGTCTCCCCCCAGCCCCCACTCATCCCAGCTTTCTCCAGCCTATTCAGGATCTTCCATGGCTCTCCCAGTCCCAGCCACCTGCTTTCTGTTGCCAAAGCTCTTAGAAACTACTTCCACCGCCACCCCCTTCTAGTCTCCTCTTTGCTATGGGCCCATTCCCTCCTTACAGCCCCACCCTGTCAGTAGGGTCAGGGTTGTAAAGAGGGAGCACAGGCTGGACACCAGGTAGGCACGGGCACAGCAGTCAATCTAGTGGTTAGAAGGACCCCAAACCCAGGGCCTGGCCACCTCCCAGCCTTGTCAGAGCCTCACATCTGGGCACGACTACCTGTGCCACTGGCAACCTAGAAAACAAATGCAAGGGCACCAAAGGGAGCACTGAGTCCAAGTCAATGAGACATACCCAAGCACTGCCCAATCCATCAGGAGGGAGGCTTGGGGAAGTGCAGAGTTAGTCTCTCTCCAGGGATGAGGTTGGGACTTCGCTACTTTAGGATGAAGAAAGCATGTCACTGGCAGAAGGAAGCCCCTTGTAAGTTCCCGGTCCAGGCTCAGCAACTCCAGGACGCAGTCGTGGCCTCCACAAGCGTCCAGAGGTGTCGTGTTCTAGCCTTCTACGGAAAGGGAAAGCGAGGCTGGGCAAGGCACCTAAGAGAAGGGTAGGACCTGTGGCAAGGGGCGGGGACTCTGAGGCTGCCAGGGAGCGCGCAGGGCAGTCACAGAGGCCGCGGCTGGACGCGGCACCGCGGGGGAGGTGGGGGCGACCTTTGCGCGGGGCGGGGCCGGATGGGCTGGTCCCGGGCCACCCCCTGCCCTGAAGCTCCGCCGCCGAGCAGCGGAGACCTGAACGCGCGGGTATCCGGGCCCACCGCTATGGACGTCCCGCCGCCGGCCGGCAAGATCGCGGCTCTGTCGCTTGGCGCCCTCCCGGTGTCCTATGCGCTCAACCACGTCTCGGCGCTCTCGCAGTGCGTGTGGGGAGGATGTGCGGGGCGGGCTGGGGGCAAGGAGCGCACTGAGAGAGGATGCGCCGCGGCCGCCCAGGTCCGGGAGCCCGGCACCCTCTTGCAGCTCTGCCCACGAGTATCGGGGGCGGGCCAGAAAAACCCCTCTCCCACCGGAAGTCCCTTTCCGTCGGCCGGAGACTGTTGTGGGGTTGGGGACACTCGTGGCAGTTCGGAACCAGGGGAGAAGGGGTATGAAGCTTTAAGAGTAACCCACAGATCAAAAGTTTCGGCGGGTTTCTGGGGGGCCCCGGAGAAGTGCCCGCACACTTTCCAAAGTCGCCAAGGGTCAAAGTATTGTCCCAGATAAGGCCCCAGTGACCTGACTCTCCAACACACACTACCCCGCCTCCCCTACCAGACAATCCCTTCATCACCTGCCAGTATCAGAAGTGGGGCTTTCTTCGGGACTGGCCCACCCTTTCCCTAGCCCGACCTTCCCCTATATACCTTGACCCCTCTCCTCCCCTTTCCTGTCTCCTATCCCTAGACCTCAGCCCAGTGGATCCAGTCACTGGGTACCTGGCATGGGAAAACCCCTCAACACCCCAACCCAATTCAACCAAAAAATGGGGCAGAAGGAGTACTGACCCAGGGGTAGACTCCTCAGGTACAAATATTCCTGGCTCCACCCTTCTGGGGCCTGGGTGAGCCTGGTTGCTTCTGGGAATCCCCAATTTTTCCTTTCATAATGAATAAATCCTAGATCCCATCCCATAGTTACAGTTAAAAATTGTGAATTGTGTGCAAAGACTGTTGTGGCCTCATCTGATGATTATAATTGTCATTGGTAAGATGGACCCAGGATGGGATGCCAAGGGGCAAGAGGATTCATGAAAGGTAGGGACCTAGAGAGAGTGTGGGGGAGAGTGTGTGACTCTTTAAGTCTTGTGCCCTCTCTGGACCTAGTTTGGCGTGTATTAGCGGCCCCTAGAGATACCTGGCTTATATTATCTATGCACTTACTGACCTGCCTTATCAGGTTGGCAGAGACTGATTAGGGCACAGGTGAGGTAGAGTCAGGGAGGCTTTTGGACTTTAACTGGGAGGAGTCTGAGCTTCAGACAGGGATACAGAGTGAGTACTAGAGACCCTCTGTCAGGGTTGGGAACTCTCTCACCCCCAGGGTTTGGCATTATTGAATGAGTGACAAATTGAATCAAACCTATATGATCAGCAAGTGACAGGAAAATTGTGTAGTCAGAAGTGTCAACAATGCCCCCTCTGTACTTGACCCAAGTTGGGCAATGAGCCTTTCTGATGAGTTGGGAAGGGCTTTTTGGAGGAGAGACAATATGGATGGGCCAGGAAGAATAAGTAGGAGTGTGCCAAGTTGAAAAGAGTTTTCTTATAAAAAAATAAAAAAAATTTTTTTTTTATCCATACGAGAGCTGGGGTACAGGCCAGAGATGCGAGGGAGGGGGGTGGGGGAAGGGTGAGAGGAGTCACCAGAGACAGAGTGGGGAGCAGAACAGGCAGATTGACTGAAGTACACTGCTGATGCGCCATATGTGTTGCTCCATGGCCAGCTGGGGATCAAACTCGTGCTGCAGAGGCTGTAGATTGCTTCATAGTGCGGTGCTTAACCCCTTGCCCCACCAGGGAGGCCTAAAAAGAGATTTCTTGATGGATTTTCCAGGAGGGAGAAGCAGCCAGGCCACCAGCTTGGTGACAGAGAAAGTCAGTTTCACGGAATGGCATTCCTGGATGATGGATAGACACTTCAGTCTTTGTCCCCTGAGGCTTCCCAGAGTCTGCGCTTGCCCTAACTAGATGGAATGGGCCTCATCACTGGGCCTGGCCTCCTTCACTTGTTTTTTTTTTTTCCCACAGCCCCCTGGGGGTGGCGTTGATGAGTATACTGATCCTGGGCCTGCTCTTTGTGGCTATCTACAGTTTGTCTCGAGGTGATATCTACTATGACCCACTCTATGCAGGTGAGTCAGTGGGAAGGTCCTGGGGAAGAGAACTGCCTGGGCAAGGACCTCCCCTATTAGATTAGACACCACTGAAGAGTTCTCATCAGACAGGAGAACCTCAAAAAGACCTGGCTTTTTGGCATTGTTGAATGAGTGACAAATTGAGTCAAGCACATATCATCAGCAAGTGACGGGAAAATTGTATAGTCAGAAATATCAACAATGTCCCTATCAACCCTATTGATTGGGAAACTTCAAAGGGCCTCCCCCCCTCTGACTTGGGGCTCCTAGGAGCAGCGCATCAGATGGGGAACCCCTGAAAGGCCTTGCTTCCCATCACTCTGGTATCTCCTAAGGGCCAGGATGGTAACTCCCCCATCAGCTAGCACTCCCTTAAAGGCAGGAACTACACCTCATCGTGAGGCTGGATTGGGTCACATGACCTTTGGGGTGGGGGCCTGGATGGGAGCATTTCGGCCTTGAATCCTTTCCTGGAATTTGGGTACCTGATCTGCAACCTCAGTCCAAGCCCACACCTGGCCCTGCCTCACCTAAACCAGTCATTCTCTCCTCCCAACCTCTACCCACCCCCCACATCAGCCCAGTCCTGCTCACTCCCCCACAGTATTTGCTGCCTTTGCCTTCACCTCGGTGGTGGACCTCCTTATTGCTCTCCAGGAAGATGGCTATATGGTCGGCTTTATGGAGTTCTACACCAAGGAGGTAGGTAGGGGACTGCCTGGGATGTCCCCTGGCCTGCTACCTGTCTGAGCCTTGCACCTACCTCCATAGGGTGATCCATATCTACGCACCGCACATGGAGTCTTCATCTGCTATTGGGACGGCATTGTTCACTACCTTCTCTACCTGACCATGGCTGGTGCCATTCGCAAAAGGTATGTGGACAGGCTGGGTGGCTCCTGGACCCTGGGAAGGTCAAGACCCCAGAGGGTTCCCAGGCTGGGGTGGAAGCCAAGTCTGTAGGGGAAATCAGGAGGCCTATCTCTAGGACTCTAGCCAGGGTTGGCTGAGAGAAGGTTCTGGCAAACGTCATAGGTGTATGTGGTGGCCAGTTGGTCTTTCCTGTGCCTGAGCATCCACTCTGCCCTTGGACAGAGGGCAACTGTTCATTTCCTCATTCAACTCCCTGTTGTCCCTTCTGTCCTGGGCAAACCTTGGAGTGACCCGGAGCTATGAAGCCCAGGGTGTTCCCTGGGTCCTAGCTAGGGCTCTGAGGGGTAGGTATCTCCTGGTCATCCCTTGATCCCCTGCCCAGGAAGAGGTACCGGAACCTTGGACTCTACTGGCTGGGATCCTTCATCATGAGCATCCTGGTGTTCCTCCCGGGAAACATCCTTGGTAACTCCTTGGCTTTAAGGAATCTCTTCTCCCTGGGCTGGATCACTACCCTGTACCCAGAAACCCCCATTGTGTCCTCCATCCCCTCCCCAATATCTTTGAAGCATTACCTCCCTATACATGTCCATGCACGAGGCAGTCATATGCCTTGCCTCTCCCTGTTTCTTCCTGGAGGGCGGGGGGGAGGGAGGAGGGTAAACTCATTCCACTTTCTCCCCAGGGATTTGCCCCAGAATGCTCTTGACACAAGAAAGGAGTTTTAGTGTGAATCCAGGAAGCAAAATGAAAGCTTTGTAGGTGGATCCTGGGAGGTCAAGTGGAGAAGACAGCAGGTGTGAGGGGATGGTGTCAGGAGGAACAATGCAAGTGTGTCCAAGGGGAACACAAAATAGCTGAAGTGTAGGAGCTGTATCCAAAGGTAAATCAAGGCAGGTCAGACTGAGGAGGGTCTGGGGAGCCACAGATGTTAGAGCTTGAACAAGGATGACCTTTGTGAATCAGACTTTCAGCCAGGGGCTTTGGCAGAGACCCTTACTGAGTGATGCTGTCTCTTTCCCACGTGGCAGGAAAATACAGCTCGGAAATCAGGCCTGCCTTCTTTCTGACCATCCCCTATGTGCTGGTTCCCTGCTGGGCTGGCATAAGGATCTTCACCCAACCCCAGGTGCCAACCTGCTATACCCACAGGATGGTGAGTGTTTTGGCCCCTTGTGCTAATATGCCTGCGTGTTACCCATTTGAGCTGCTTCTGGTCAAAGACACTGTCTGCTTGGAAGGATCTCCTTGGTCACTAGGAAAGACATGATGAGCCATTAATGAGTGCTTATTGTATACCAGAGTTCCCATGCTGTCTCTCCCATGGAGCAGGTACAGGTGGAACAAAGAAAGAGTATCCTGCAGCGCCCACTTGACCTGGCCCTCATCATTTACCTCATCCTGGCTGGCTTCTTCACCCTCTTCCGGGGCCTGGTAAGTCTGTGCTAGTCAGCCCGCACCTCCTTTTCCTCCAGTTCCCCCATCCTGGCCCACCTCTCCTACATATGTTCCAGTATCCAGAGCAAAAAGGCCACTACTCACCTGAGTGATCATCCAGGGAAGTTCTTCATGACAAAGCCTCATTCCCTACAGCATTCTCTCAATATCTTTGGCTTCCCAGACAGATGGAGAGAACCAACTGGGGGAAGCCAGAGCAAGGGGTGTGGACTCTGCTGGGAAGGGTGGAAAAGCTTCCTTGGGAGAGGTATTTGAGAAGTGTTGTTGGTTTGTCCCCAGGTGGTGCTTGACTGTCCCACAGATGCCTGCTTTGTCTACATTTATCAGTATGAGCCATACCTTCGGGATCCTGTGACCTACCCAAAGATACAGGTGAGAGGGCAGGTGGGAGAAGAGAGGGCCACTGGGCCTCTTTGAAACAGGTGCCAGAAACATAAGTGAAACTAGCAGAAGTACAAGTGGAATTTGGTGTCCTAAAGAAAAGTAGCTGGGCTGCCTGGTCTTTAGTTATGGCTGGATCCAGCAGCTCAAGGATAACTCTGTTTCTAGGATCTGCTTTTTTTTTTTTTTGGTCTGGGCTCCATTCCCAGGTCTTCCCTTTGTGGGATGACAGTGACAGTCTAGGGTGGCTCCAGGTTACCCTCTGTCCTTCCTAGACAGCCTAGGATAGTGTAATCCTTATTTACCCAGAGATTAAGCCTAAGTTTCAGGGAGGCTCTGATTGGCCCATTTTAATTACATCCCATAGCTGCATATCCCATAGTTGATCTTTATCGCCAGTGAGCTAGAGTTTCGTTATTGACCAGACGAGACATGACACTTCTGGACTGAGCTGGACTCAATTATATGTGTTCAGGTGTCAGGGGGCAATGAATTGTGGTAGGGGTGGGAATACTCAGGGAAATAGAGCAGCACCATGCACAGGGGTGGGATGTGCAGAGTCTCTATCTTGAATGGGATCTGAGGCTGGTAAGATCCTCCCTGGAGCCCCCCACATGAAGGTTATCAGGAGACTTGCTGGGATAGCTGCTCACCCCATTGACTGTGTGCCCCCAGATGCTGGTTTACATGTTCTATGTGCTGCCCTTCTACATCCTGGCTGTCTATGCCCTCCTCTTCCCTGGCTGTTCCTGGCTGCCTGACTGGGCCTTAGTGTTTGCTGGAGCCATAGGCCAGGTGAGGAGGTGGGAGGTGGGGTGTATAAGTGACGAAAATTTCTGCTTACCCAACAATTGCTCTTGGGGAGGGTGATATGGGCCCTGAGAGGTACAACTCAGTACTACAAGATTCCCTAGTTTCAGAGGGAAAAAAAAAAAAAAAAACAGACACAGACCCCATGGGGTCAGAACTGGAGAAAAGGAAGAAGTGATGGGGGCTGAAAGGGATTCCACATGGAAGGAAGTTTTTCTTTTTTTTCTTCTTTTTTTCTCAAGATTTCTTTATTTATTCTATATAAGCACTGGATACAGTCAGAAGTGCGGGAGGGTGAGAGAATTCACCAGAGCCAGAGCGGGGAGCAGAGCAGGCAGAAGGACTGAAGTAAACTGCTGAGGGGAGCAGCGGGCAGCAGGAGAGGTCTGCGCGCCATGTGGGACCCTCCTCTGGTGGCCGGGGAGCAGCCGGGGATCGAACCGGCGCTGCAGAGGCTGCTGGGCGGCTTCGCAACCCAGCGCTCAACCACTGCGCCACCGGGGAGGCCCTGGAGGAGTTTTTCTTGAAGTGAAGTTTTTCTTGAAGTGAAGGCATAGGTGCTGGGCTTTGACTTAAGGGTATAAATTCTCCAGGCAGGGAAGGGCCTTCCAGGATGCGAACAGCTTTAGGGAAAGGCACAGAGGAGGACAGTGATTTTGCAAGGCCATAACATGAGTAAAGGCAAGGCAACAGAAGTTGGGAAGGGCTTTGAGCTCTGAGTGTGGGAGCTTGTGCTAAGAACAGTGGTGAGCTATGGTAGGTGTCTAAGAAGTGGAAGGTCTGGCTTCTTCCATGGGAGATGATAAAACCTATGACCAGTGCAGTGGGGACCAGAAAGGTATCTTCAGGATAGAATTGATAGGATTTGTGTCAAGGGCAGCTGCTCAGGGTGGTGATACTAGGAGGAAGAACTGGATCCACATCAGAGATAATGGGATTCAGGGCCTGCAGATGGAATGAAGATTGTTCTGGTTATGCAGCGGGAGAGAGAGACTGACAGACAGAAGGACACAGGTAGACAGGACACTTGGGGAAGGGATATTTGGAGGTAGACAGATGAACTGGAGAGGGAGAGAGGTCAGCTAGTTGAAGATGGGGCCCTCTGGGTTCTGCCTGACTGCAATGAGAAGCCCTAGGGAGCGGGAGGGTGTCAGTAATTCCAGGACTTGTTCCTGCCCATGACATTCATCCTCCTGTGTGGCCACCAGGCACAGTTCTCACATATGGGTGCCTCCATGCATTTGCGCACACCTTTCACCTACCGCGTGCCAGAGGACACCTGGGCCTGCTTCTTCGTGTGTAACCTGCTGTATGCACTGGCCCCCCACCTGCTGGCCTTTCGCTGCTTGCAGTGGCCTGCCTTCTTCACGCGCCCGCCCCAGAGGCCCCCGGTCCACCACAAGCAGCACTGAGCGGGCCATGGAATCCCCAGAACTGTGTTTACATGGCCTGTTGACTCTGGTCCAGGGGGGATGGGATGTGTTTTTTAGAGGAAAAAGTTATATCTCTGGGTGCTGTTGGTCCTGGCTATGGTGATTTTAAGCCAGCAGGTGGAATGGGAGTCCCAGGAGCCTGGTGTTCTGGCAGAGAGGGCCACAGCCAGATCAACTGTCACTGTGCCCAAACTCCACATGGACTCTTGTACTTGCTCCAAGCCTTTATCCATAATTCCCCCATGTATTCTTTTAGTAAAAACTCTTGATGCCCAAAATGTTGTTGTCTGAGTGTTTCTGGGTGCAGGGGTGAGAGACTCTTTTCAGGCTCCACAAAAGCCCACCCATTGATACCAGTATGACCATCAGGAGCTGGAGGTACCAGACAGCAGAAATCTGCCTCTGCTTGAATATCTTCCAGATGGTCAGAAGGAACCAAAGACCTGTTGAAGTAACCATTGGAGATAAGTGTCTGATGTCCTAACCCTGAGAATAAATTAAAATAACTACTAATGTGGCACATTTATTAAGCACCTGCTAGATTACCACACCAAGGGCTAACCTCATGTGCTCTCATCCCCTGTTCCAGATGGGGAGCCTACAGGAAATGAAAGTCTTAGTGCAAAGGTCATGCCTCTTGGATGTGGCTGAATTTGGGCCCTGGCCCATTCAACCCTCAGAGCTCATAACTCTGCTTCTGCTATCTGGTTGGCTCATATTTTGGAGACTGGGGAGACAACCAGGGTTGTTGAGGGGAGAGTTCATTGTTTCCTGGTTCTGTTTTTGAAGACTTTTTGAAAAAAAGATTATTTATGCATATAGGAACTGGGGTACAGGCCAGAGGTGTGGGGTGTGAGAGGATTCACCAGAGACAGAGTGGGGAACAGAATAGGCAGATCAAATGAATTACACTGCTGAGGGGAGCAGCGGGAGAGACAGGAGAGGTCTGCTGCACCATGTGTGTAGCTCCTTGGCTGTCCAGGGATGGAACTCGTGCTGCAGAGGCTGCAGATAATTTCATAATGCTGTCCTTAACCCCTTGCGGCATCAGGGCGACCCTGGTTCTGATTTTGAATTTTGGTGAAGGGCAAGGTTCTCGGCTGACTCAGGTCCAGAAGGGAGCAGAGGCTTGATCAGACACCCCTGCTTCCTGTCTTTGTCAACCAGTTAGGCACCTATTTTATATCCAAACATGGATCTTTATCAAAGAACCAGCATTCCATTTCCAGAGGAAAGTGAAGTTCAGAGAGACCAAGCTTCTTTTCCAGTATCCCATAGCAAATAAGCCAAATTGCACTAGGACCTGTTGCTGCAGGCCCCTTTTGCAGAGTGTAATTTTTGTTAGGCTCCTGCCTCCAGAGTGAGCACCTTTGCGTGCCTGAGCCCAGGACCCCATGGTGGTCACCATGTGACAGATCAGAAAACAGTCCTGCAAGCCAAGTCCCTCTTCCAGGTCACCCAGCGCCCCTCCTCCACCCACGCAGGACATCCATGATGGAAGACTCCTTCAAGTCCCGTCCTACAATTTATAGATGGTTAAACTGGGCTGGCCCAGTTTCCTGCGCTGGCCCACGTTCAACCAGCGGGGGCAGAGACTCTGACTGAGAGACTCTAACCAACCGAGGCGCGCGGCCCTACCTCCTCAGTGTCCGGTCACTTTGCGGAGCATGCGCCGCCGCGTCCCCTTTAACGACACCCCCCACCCCCCCACCCCCCAGCGTAGGACTCCCTCCTCCCCTTGCAGGCAGACGCCGGGATTGCGCCGCCCGCCTGGAACTGCCCAGTCCCTCCCCGGCGTGCTAGGAGCGCAGTCTCGGCGCGCGGGGGCCGCTCCGCGGGGCCGCGCGGGCAGGATGGTAAGTGGGACCGGGGGCGCGGGTCCGTCTCTCTGTGTCTCTGAGTCTACGTTCTGTTCAGTCTCTCTCCTCTCAGTCTGGAGTCTCCCTTCCCAGTCTCTCCCTTGTGCATCCTCTTCCTCGCGCTCGTGCCTCGCCTGTTCTACCCTGGTCAGTCTCTCGTGCTTGACTCTCCCGCCCCCCGCCCCCCGCCCGTTTTCACTCCCTCTCTCTGAATCTCTGACTTTTCTAGCCCATGGCGCTCCCTTCCCACGGCCTCTCTCTTTCTCTCTCTAAAGTCTCTCCCTCTTCATCTCTCCCTTCTTCTTGTCTCTTTCCCTTTGTCTCTCACTGCCTTTCTCTGTCTCGCGTTCCCTCTGTCTCCACCATCCCATCGGCGGCCCCAGCTCCCCCCCCCAGCCCCGCCGGGTTTGCTGCAGTCTCCTGGCGCACGGATAACCTTGCCGCTGCTGCTGCTGCGGCTCCTCCTCCTCCCGCCCTCCTCGGCCTAGGCAAGTGTGCGGGAGGGGGGCGGGGCTCCGACACTCCTGGCTTTGGGGGTAGAGGATCAGGCGAGTTGCACTCGCGGCACCAGGGAGGGTGAATCCAGGGGCGTGGGCTTTTGCGCAGCAGCCCAGGTGAGAGATGGTGGGGGGCTGTCAGTCTTCTTGGGGGAGTGATCCCACCCTGACTGGGGTGGGAGCCGAGGCGTGTAAGAAGTCCTCCCAGCGAAGAAGGAAAGACCGGAGGCTAGTCCTCCGAAAACCAAAGGTCAGGAGACTAAACAGAGCTCCCTGCCTCCAGGTGTGTGCTCGGGCGGCCCAGGGTCCCGGCGCGCTGTGGGCTGCAGCCTGGGGCGTCCTGCTGCTCACAGCCCCCGCGGAGGCGCAGCGCGGCCGAAAGAAAGTCGTGCACGTGCTGGGTGAGTTCGGGCTGCGGGTGCTGGGTGAGTTCGGCTGCGGGTGCTGGGCTTGCCCGGCAGGAGTGGCCACCTGTGACAGTCTGTGTGCAGGGAGGGAGAAGGGAGGACAGCCCCAGATGCCCCCACCCTAGCCCCCTTCCAGTACCACCACCCAAAACTTTTCCCCATATCCCCTGCCCAGGGTCTTCCTTGCCAGGTGTCCCGCCCCTAGGACTTTTTACTGAATTCTGCTTGGTCGCCTGCAGAGGGCGATTCTGGCTCCGTGGTTGTGCAGACAGCTCCTGGGCAGGTGGTCAGCCACAGGGGTGGCACCATCGTTCTGCCCTGCCGCTACCATTATGAGGTAGCTGCCCATGGCCATGATGGCGTCCGCCTCAAGTGGACCAAGGTAGTGGACCCGCTGGCCTTTGCCGACGTCTTTGTGGCACTGGGACCCCAGCACCGGGCATTTGGCAGCTATCGCGGGAGAGCAGAACTGCAGGGCGATGGACCTGGGGATGCCTCTCTGGTTCTCCGAAATGTCACACTGCAGGACTACGGGCGCTATGAATGTGAGGTCACCAACGAACTGGAAGATGACACGGGGATGGTCAAGCTGGACCTGGAAGGTGACTAATCCCCCCCCCCCCCCCCCCCCCGCCCAGGAGGAGGTATTTCTAAGGGGAGGGGCATTGCAAAAACAAAAACCCAGTCAAACTGGCCTGAAGGAACTGGAGGCTTGTAGGGGTAAGGTAATGGTTCTCGTTCAGAGTGATTGCCAGGGACATTGGCAAAATCTAGAGATGTTTTAGATCACCGCACTTGGAGGAAAAGATTGCTAGTGGCATCTAGTGGGTAGAGGCCAGAGATGCCGCAGTCAGCACAGAACAGTAAGAACAAGCCAGATCAAAATGTCAATAGTGAATACTTTGGGAAACCCCAGCATAGGATGAGGTACTCAACACTGTGTCAGGAGCCCCTCCCCTCAGCTCTGCTACCCTGGGTGGGCTTTGCTCAGGCAGGTTTGCTCTGATGGAATCAAAACCCTGATCCCAGGCTTGTGTCCTCCCAATTTAGCAATTTCCACCTAAAGTCCCAGAGTTGTTCGTATTGGCCCATCTTTGAATCATGTGCCCATCCATCAACCAATCACTATAGCTGGGAATGGGCTTGTTTTTATTAGCAGACTATGAAACTGAAATGTAGGGTTTCTTTTTGAAGAATTTCCTCGCACCTGATTCGTCCTCCTCCGTCCACCTTAGAAGATGCTGAGAATGCTTTTCAGAGTTCTCCCCTAATAAACATCCCAACAATAGCAAGTAAAAGTAACAGCTCCCTTTTATTGAATGTTTTCTATGTGCCAGGAGCTTGGTTGAAGAATTCTCTCTAGTCTTTAATTTTCAAAAACAAAACAAAACAAAAAACAAACCCTGAGGGAGGTGCTATTACAAACTCATGGGTGGCTGACTTGGAAAGGTCAGAACCTTGCCCGGGGCACATGCTGGTGAGTGGCAGAGCCAGGACATGAAACTTGGTCTCTCAGGCTCCAGGTCATCTCTTTTGGTCCTGTTCACCTCATTCCAGTATCTGCTACCCAGCCCACCCCAAGGTCTACCCCTCAAACAGACACACAGAACTCTTGTGTTACTTAATGGACTATAGACTGGATGAGGGACAAATTACAACTGAAAGTGGAAAAGGAAATCAAAGGGAACTGGCCTTAGCAATGCTGGGACTCGTAGGGATCTCTGTCAAGGTTAACTTCTCAGGGGCTCCCACAAATTTCCAGTTCTGTAGGCTCAGTGCTTAGCCAGAGGGAAGTTCCTAATGATGCAGAATGTCAGAAGTATATAGGACTGGAGGGAAGAGGATTGTGGGAGCTGGGTTTTGAAGGATGAATAGGAGTTTAACAGGTGGAAAAGGATGGAAAGAACATGAGCAACGACTCTAGTGATGGCAAGAGGGCACATAATTAAGTTGATTATGTTAATGGGGAGGGTCAAGTGAATCCCAATTTAAGGCTAGGAAGCCATCAGATGTGTGAGCCTGGGAAGGCTGTGGTCAGGTCTGAGGCCAGTGAGGAATGAGCAGGAAGTTCCAGGTTGAAGAGTCACGTGTCACCCCAGATGTCAGGTGATTGGAGGCTGGCTGGGGCGCGCAAACTGACCCCCATGCATCTTCCCAGGTGTCGTCTTCCCTTACCACCCCCGCGGAGGCCGCTATAAGCTGACCTTCACAGAGGCGCAGCGCGCATGTGCTGAACAGGATGGCATTCTAGCATCAGCTGAGCAGCTGCATGCGGCCTGGCGAGATGGCCTGGACTGGTGCAACGCGGGCTGGCTGCGAGATGGGTCGGTGCAGTACCCAGTGAGCCAGCCCCGGGAGCCCTGCGGCGGCCTGGGATTGACTGGAAACACCGGGGTCAGCGGTGGTGCCTCCGGGGGCGTGCGCAATTATGGGTACCGTCACAACGCTGAGGAACGCTATGACGCCTTTTGCTTCACTTCCAACCTCGCAGGTGCGTAGGCCTAGCTCCCCAAGAGGTCACTTCCCTGTTCCCTCTCCCTCTCATTCGCTCTACCCTAGCTTAGTATCCCTCTCTCTACCCCTCCCCACCTTGACTCCGGCTGGTCGGGAGCCAGAACTCCCTGCCCCAGGAATGCCACAGCGCTGCGAGGCAGTCCAGAATCTCCTGGTTCCCACACTGCTGCCGCTGAGGCTGGGTCCTGGGCTGTAGGGGAGGGTGTTCCAGAATCCTGACGCTGAGGTCTGGGCTGCACACCTATGTGGGTCCAGAATCCCAAGGAGATCGGGTCCCGGGAGTAGCCCTAACCACTCCCCAACCTCACAGGGCGCGTGTTCTTCCTGAAGCCACTTCGGCCGGTGCCCTTCGCGGGAGCCGCGCGCGCATGCGCAGCGCGCGGCGCAGCCGTGGCCAAGGTGGGACAGCTGTTCGCCGCGTGGAAGCTGCAGCTGCTGGACCGCTGCACAGCCGGCTGGCTCGCCGACGGGAGCGCGCGCTACCCCATCGTGAATCCGCGCGCGCGCTGTGGCGGCCGCCGGCCAGGAGTGCGCAACCTCGGCTTTCCCGATGCCACACGCCGCCTCTTCGGCGTCTACTGCTACCGCGCACCCGGCGCGCCGGATCCCGCTCCTGGAGGCTGGGGCTGGGGCTGGGCCGGAGGCGGAGGCTGGGCGGGAGGCGCGCGCGACCCCGCCGCCTGGACTCCCTTGCGAGTCTAGGTCCGTGACGCGACATCTGGGCGCTCGGCGGCTGGCCTAGTGCCCTGCGGTCCCCAGAAACAGGCCAGGCCCCTGGAGGTTGACCGCGCCCCCTGCCGGCTGCCGCGGCCTCCGGCGGGGCTGGAACGCCGACCACGCCCCCTGAGGGTCCTTAAAACTGGCGGGTCCTGGGAGACAGGATAGTGGATATTCCCTCCTCCCACAACTTTTTCCTGGAGACGGACCACGCCCCCTGAAGATCCCTGGAGGCCAACAAACCCCGAGGTCACCTGGAAACTGTGGAAACCAACCACACATTTCCCCACTCTACCCCACAGTCGCCTGGAGGCTGGACCCCCGGGATTATCTGGAGACTGGGCACACACCTTCTGCATCTTTCTGGAAACTGGTTTACAGTCACTTGGACACTGAAACCACCTCTCCATCACCTGTAGAGAAACCAAAAACTATGGAGTTTCCCTGGCAGCCCCTGTGGTTGCATGGAGACTGTGGGCTCCTGACCTCTCCCCTGCAGTGACCTGGAGATTGGGTACGCCCATTCTCTCCCCCTTCATCATGAGGCCCTCTGAAGTTTCCAGAGTAATAGGCCGTGTGTCTGAGTTACCTTTGAGAACAGCACCTTTGAGAACAGCACCGCCCTTGGGGAGGTGCTTGTCTGGGAACACCACCCTTGTCTGTTGCTGCTAAGACAGATTAACATACCCCAGCTGGCTGGCTGGACTGGTGGCCAAGCCCCATCCCTCAGGTATCTCTCTAGAGGAAGCAAATCCTCATCTGACAGCCCTTTTCCTGGCTGTCACCAAAGAGACAATCCCTCTCCCTGCCCCCCCTTGCCCCAGGGGCCCATAGAGCCATGTCATTCTCTGTGGGGACAAGCCTCTCCACTTCCTCTGTCACCAAGATGACCAGCCTGATTTCTACCTGTCACCTAGCGTCACTCAGCCCTTCCCTAATCAGTGACACCCATGGAGATAGTACTGCTTCCTCCAACAGTAACTATGGCTACCACACATTCCCAAAGACGGACAACTCTACTTCTGGTTGTTTCCACCCTGACTCACAGCCATAGAGACCATCTCCCCTTAGCTATTCCAGGAATCACCCAGCATTCATTTAATCTCACTCTCACCATGGAAACAGTCTGACCCTTTGCTCAGGCCCACCCAGCTCCTGCCACCTTCCAAGGTCTGCCCCCAGGCAGCTTGGACCTCAACATAGCTATTGCCATAGAAACCAAATTTTGGTGTCTGTGGTAACAGAACACCTGTCCCCCTAAGTTTTCCCTTGTGGGCAGGCCCTTTCCCTCCAGGCTGTCTCTAAAAAGACTGTCAATGCCTTCCCTTCCCATAACACTGGACCTCCCAGCTCTCAGGAACTTCTCACCTTGGGCCTGAACTGTCCTGTCAGGTAGCCCAGCCCCAGGCACTGTCCCCAGACATGACTGGACTTGAGCTGCTGGTGCACTCCTTCTGCATGCTAACTATCCCAGACAACAGCTGTGCATGAGACACCCTAACAACACCAGGTTGCAACTGCAGATGATCAATCTGAAGTACCACCCTTTCAGCTGTGCAAGTACTAGCCTCTCCTTTTGCCTCTGAGACCCCATCCCCATCTCACCAAGCTCCTCTCTCCTTCCTGGTCTCCTGCCCCCATTTCTCTCTTTCGAGATCCAGGGGAGATGGAATATCCTTGAACTTCAAAATCCACCATGTGTGCCAGGTCTTACGGGGCAATTCCTGCTAAGTCAGGACCCAGCCAAGCTCCTGTGTGAGAACCAGCTTGGGGGAAACAGTCCATGAGCAAGGGCACCCTGGGAGAACCCAGTTCCTGTGGTTTGCCTGAAGTTACACTGGGTTCCCTACTGGGCTCTCCTGTTATCACATCCACCTCTGGGAAACCCAGCTCTGGGTTTGGAACCAACTGGGCTGGGGTTCAAATCTTGGCTCTGTGGCCAAGTGACAAACCTCCTGAGCCCATTTCTTCTGTAGCAGGACTATTCTGAGGTGCCAGTGAGTACAAAGCCTATAGCAGGGACTCAATGAATATTTGGGTTGGTTTTTTCTTTTCTGTTTTAATGAATGAGAAAATGAGGCAGCCAGAGGGTATATACTTTTTAAATGCACTTTGGTGGAAACACCCCACACCCCACTCCCCAATCTCTCTTCTCCCTTCATTCATCCTGCCTTCTTTCTCTTTCCCTTGAGCCATCTTCATGGACCTAGCCCTTCTCAGCCCCTTCCTGTCTAGGTCTCTGACAAATCTAGTGATTCCTCGATATCCAGCCTGAAGTGTGTAAAGTTGCTTGGGGAGTTCTGCACCTGAAAGGCAGAGACATTGCAAGTTTTTCCCAGGATGGGGGGGGGGGAAGGGTTAGGGAAGTGGGGGTAAGGACCCTTGGACATATCTGGAATACAAACAAAGGGGAAGAGAAGCAAGTATAAGGTTTGGTTTGGTAATAGAAGTAGGGTAGTCAATTTAACTGGTTATCCTCATTATCTGGTATGGTGGGCTCCTGGAGGTACAACCATTCATCTGAGGTTGGTGTCCAGCTCAGTGATTAGATTACCTTGGGCTATGGCTGGGCCTTGTCTTCCTCCATGGGGGGAGTGGAAATGGACATGTTTCCCAAAATGAATGCGTGGGATTTTTTGCTTGCCACCTTCTCTGCTCGCATCCTTTCTCCCTTCCATGGATTGCAGCATCTTGGTTTCCCATCAGGTTAGCAACTTTCCCAACTCCACCTGCTTCCAGCATGGCCAATGACAGCTGTAGTCCATCTCCCCAGGCAGCCCTGATTGATTCCAAGGTGGACATGGACCTGGAGTGACCAGTGTCAACTCCTGGGATTTTTTGGACCTACTGAACAGGGAAACTTCCTTCTTAGGTCACTGATGGAACAGAAGCCTCAAGGACTGCCTTGGGGAGAGCTGAAGGCTGGCAACCTGGAGAGAATCCTTCCTGAAGCCAGATAGTAAAATGTCTGTCTCCTGTGCCCCACCACCTAGCTCATTTCCCAGAGACATTGAAAGTTTCTTACATGTTCCCTGGAGATGTTTTGTGTTAATAAACATGCATATGTATTTCTTTTCCCCATTTTTACATAAATGATGGTGTGCAATGTATACTTTCTTATGATAAAAATTCACATAAAATTGACCATTTTAATCAAAGTGGAAAATTGAGTGGCATTTGTACACTCACTGTGTTATGCAACCACCACTTCTATATAGTTTTAAGTCATTTTCATCATCCCAAAAGAAAACCCTGTTCCCATTAGCAGTCACTCCTCATCCCTCCCCACCACTGCCAGGTCCCTGCAACTGCTAATCCACTTTCTGTCTCTATGGATTTGCCTATTCTTTTTTTTTTCCCCAAGATTTATTTATTTATGCATACAAGAACTGGGATACAGGCCAGAGGTGTGGGGGGAGGGTAAGAGGATTCACCAGAGACAGAGTGGGGAACAGAACAGGCAGACCAACTGAAATACACTGCTGAGGGGAGCAGCGGGTGGGTGAGTCAGGAGAGGTCTGCTGTGCCATGTTGGTCACCTCCCTGGCTGACCGGGGATCGAACTCATGCTGCAGTGGCTGCAGAGTGCTTCATAGTGCTGTGTCTTAAACCCTTGTATCACCAGGGAGGCCCCTGGATTTTCCTATTCTTGGTATATTTTTTTAAGATTTATTTTATTTATCTACGCATACAAGAACTTAGGTACAGATCAGAGGCGCAGGGGGTGAGAGGATTCACCAGAGACAGAGTGGGAAACAGAGCACCTGGACTGACTGAAATACACTGCTGAGGGGAGCAGCAAGTGAGACAGAAGAGCTTTGATGTGCCATGTGGGTTAGCTCCCTGGCTGGGGATTGAACTCGTGCTGCAGTGGCTGCCAACAGCTTCATAGTGCTGAGACTTAACCCCTTGTGCCACCAGGGAGGCCTCTATTCTTGGTATGTCATATAAATGGAATCCTACAAAATGTGTCTTTTAATGTCTGGCTTCTTTCAGCATAATGGTTTTGAGGTTCATCCATGTCATACCATGTATCAGAACTTCATTCCATTTCTATGACCACATAACATTCCATGATTTGTACATACCGTAATTTACTCATTCACCATGAGTGACTTTGGGTTGTTTCCACGTTTTGGCCATTGTGAATAATGCTGCTGTGAACATTTCATGTCATGTATACCATTAAAATAGTCCCTCTTTTATTTAATAAATAATTTTTGAGATAATGTCCATTGTAGATATCCTGCCTTCCCATTATTTTGAAGGTTGGCAGAATACTCATTGTTTGGATACACGTAATTTTTGTAGGCAGCTCCAAATGGTGGACATTTAGGTTGTTTTCTGTATTTTACTTTTAGTAATAAATAACCCTATCAGGAGTGGTTTGATCAAGCTGTCATTTTGCTATCGCTCTTCACCTCTGCTTAGGGTGTATCACTTTTTTTTTTTAAAGATTATTTATGCAAACAAGAGCTGGGGTACAGGCCAGAGGTGTAGGGGGGTGAGAGGAGTCACCAGAGACAGAACAGGCAGATTGACCGAAGTACACTGCTGAGGGGAGCAGTGGGTGAGTCAGGAGAGGTCTGCTGTGCCATGTGGGTTGCTCCTTGGCCGGGGATCAAACTCATGCTGCAGAGACTGAGGAAAGCTTCATAGCTTGCGTCTTAACCCTTGTGCCACCAGGGAGATCCATGTGTGTCACATTTTTTATCATAGCCAACATGATAGGTAAAAAATGGTATCTTATTGTGGTTGCCTTGAAATTTTCTTAGTACGTGTGGAGCTAAGCACCCTTCACTTTGAACTTAGGTGCAGGTGATTGAGTAAATCCTAAATAATTCTTAGTTCAGATACACTGTCTTCAATGATCTATGTAAGACCCCTCTCTCATTAGATTTGTTTATTCCCTTTTACTTACATGCCCTCCCTTTTATCTTGGTGTTCTTGGGAAATGTGAATTATTGTGTTGTGCATGTTGTAATTTAAAAGCTGGTTTTGTATCTCCTTCTATGTTAATTCTTCATAGCCTTTGCCAGTTTGGCTATTGAGTTATGTCTTTGTTTCTATAGGTTTGTAGTAGATGTTTACATATTAAGGCAACAAATCTTTTAACTTTGATTTGAAAAGTTATTTTCAAGTTTGACATTTTCCTTCTGACCTTGCTAATGGTGTGTGTTGCCACAATTGTTTTTAGAATAAAGCCCCAACTCCTTACTACAGCCCATAATGGCTCTGAGTGATCCCCCCTCTCCCTCTTTGATTCCCATCTCCCTCACTCTCTTGTCTCTTTCACTCTGCTTCAGCCACTATGGACTCCCTGCTGTGTCTCAAATGAGCCAGGTTTCCTTCTTCATGGAAGGAAACTTCCTTTACTCTTTTCTCCCCCCTGAAACTCTCTTCCTTTCTTCCCCTCCCTCCTTGTCTAGATATTCCTTTAGATTCCATCCACCTACCTCCTCCAGGAAACCTTCCCTAACTTCCTCCTAGGGTACTGTCTATACTGCTCACCACTATTTTCCCAGCACACAGCAAAGTATATGACACATAAAAGCTGCTCAGAAAGAACTGGCTGAGTGAATGAATGAAGGAAGGTGTCGGGAGGTGACAGGCAGATTGAGCTGTTAAAAAAATTTTATTAAAATGTCCAAGTACATTAATGTCCACAGTGTCAGATACCACAAACCCACAGAACACTGCAGCTTACAGCAAAACCAGCAGAATCAAAGCTATTCACACGCACACACACTCACACGTGTGCCATGCATGTGGCACACACAAACACACACACACATCCCAAAGGGAAAGACCAAAAGACAAACCACCCACTTTAGAAAAGACCAGAGCCCCCTCCCACTGTGGGGCTTGGGTGGGGGCAGGGCAAGGGGCTGAGGGAGCCACAGGTGGGGGGGCATAAACCAAACCCCCCCCAAAAGTTGCATCCCCAGTATCCCCCCAAAAGAAAATTCTTTTGTGATGCCCACCAAACAAAGGAAATTCTTCTATAACATGGATAATTGAAGAATGTTGCTATTATTATATTTTTAAACCAAAACAAAAATGATCAAAGCAAGAGGGAAACCGATATCCCTGGGCTCTCTCAACAACCATAAGGTGGAATGGTGGGTTATGTCAATAGCAGGGAAGATTGAAGACCACAGTCAAGTATTCTAGCCTACTCTGTGCTTCTCAGTCTTTTCCTAAATCTGCCTATGTGTGAGAAAGAGTGTGATTATGTTTTCATCCCTTCTTCCAAAGAGAGTGGTGTTTGCATTCAGAGGTGAGATCAAACCCTTATTCTTGTCTTGCCTGTGACTTCAAGCCAGTGCCTTACCCTTCTCTGATCCTCATTTACCTTATATGTAAAATGTGGAATTGTAGTTCCTAAATCACTGGGGGTGTTGAGACATTTCAAGGGGATAAGGCCTTGGCATAGTACCTATTCCAGAGTTGTCAACTGTGATTATTACTTCCCAGTAGGGATACGGGTTCAGTCAACAGTCCTTTTCTCTATTGAACCCCTGGAAGGACCATCTAGTTGCTTATTTTTCTTTTCTACAGAGATCCATCCTCCACTGTTTTTAACATTAATCCACAGATTTGACCCAGATTTGATGGTTTGAGGGTGGACAAAATACATGGAGGTGAAGATGTGGCCTTTCCTGCTGGAGATGAGGACTTTTGCCTTTGCTCTCCCTCTGCCTGAAATTTTCTTCCTTTCTTCCTCTCATTTGGGAGGTCTTTTACAGGATGAAGATTTGAGGGAGGAAGGCAGGGTGAATTCTTTCCTACTCAAAAAGAAAAAGCTATGAGAGAAAAATGTATGTGTGTTTTAGTTTTAATACTGCACATCTTTCTAGAACATAACTGCAGGTGGATGTCATTATAAGTTTTAATTGTTTCCTAGTCTGCCAGACAATTTGTGGAGAGAGGGATGGAGGAAGCAGGGCGGGACCCAGGACAGGGGCACTACCAATGTCTGCTTGAGGAGTGAGTATGGACACTGAGCTAGAAAACTTGGCACCTCGTTGGTCCAGGAAGGAGGTTCTTTGTCTCCCTGAGAGATGGATGGAGAAGAGATCTGGGCTCACCAAGCCCCCAACATCCTTTCACCTATGTCTATTGTCAGAACCATGAAATCTCAGCATTGGACTACACCTGGGAGAGAGAGCAGAACTTTCCCTCCACTGCCCACATATTTCTCTGACTATCCTGACCCCTAACTCTGAGGGAACATAGGTTGTTCTTAAAAAAAAAGTCACTAAAATTCATACATAGGATTTCCACGCTATGTTTATCCACCAAGACTAAAGACCAGCCTTGGGCTGAAGTCCAGGAACAGCAGTGAAGTAAAGAAAGAACAGTAGCCAAGTTCAAGCAGGGCACTTCCAAATAATTTTCTACTCCCAAAGTCAGTGACCTTAAAACTAGGCTTCAGTCTGCATTTAGGACATCCAATGGTTTACTAAGCCCAAATATCAGGTGTGAAAAGCAATTTCTTTCATGCAAGTCGAAAAATATACACTCTTGCACCTTCATCAAAGCCTTATTTCAACAATTGGCAATCAGCCTTGCCAACAAGTAACTAAACTGATACAAAGAAGATCTTTGTTGATTGTGCTTCCCTCCACTGGGAGGTGCTCCCAGAGTTCAACCTAAAACTGACTTTCCAGACACAAGGCTACTCCTGCCAGGAGGAACTGCATATGTAAGAAAGGAGAGAGGAGCTTTTTACAAAGGATTATGAAGGGGGGCAGGGAGGGGGGATGTAGTTCGGGGCTCAGGGACTTCCAGACCTTCTTGTTTCTCTCTGGGCTCTGTCTCCCCAGGTGAAGGCTCCAGGGGAGGTCTGGGAATGGGGTTGTGCTTGCTTTCCCTGGCTCTTCAACAGAAATTCCCTTCTTCCTTCTCCCAGTCCTCCACTGGGTGTTTTTTGTGTTTTCTGCGCTCCTTGCGAGATTTGTGGTGGCGATGCTGATGGTGATGTTGGTGGTGGTGATGGTGCCGCCGCATCCGATGAGACCGTCTGGCTGCAGGGAAATGAGGGAGGAAAGGGACTGGGCATGAGGGGGTGAGAAGCAGGTGGCCCCTCAACGGAGGGAAATGGAGGAAACTCCAGGTAGGCTAGCAAGTTTCCCCTATGTGCAGGGCTACAGACCAGTGTGTGTAGTAGTAAGACTACAAATAGCTAATAACCTGTGTTGGGGTGGCTGGGGCAGTCACTTACGTTTGGTGCAAACGATTTGGGGATGGTCCCACTTGCCGTTGCTCCGGCACCTAATGATGGCCACGTGGTGCTGAGCAAACCCCTCATTGCACTGGTAGCGAACTGTGGCATGGACATTGTACTTGGCCTTGCGAGCACCCACAGGTGAGGCGTTCTCCACTGCTGGAGGGGGACCACAGAGCACTGGGGATGGAGGAACTTCCAGTTAGGGAAGTGACCAAGGCTGGAACTGAACAGGTGTCCTGCCTTGTTAGGGACATTGCACCTGTCCATCCTCTGCCCCACTATAACCCCACGGGGCTTCCAATTGGCTGTCTGTCTCAGTATCCTCTACCCAAACCAGGAGCCCCTTAGGGAACTGCACCTCCTGGACATGCCCCACTCCCTAATTCTTATGTAAGTATGACAGGAATTAAGGAGATGGGAGGCAAGATGAGAGCAAATGAAAGGAAGAAAGGACATGAAGACTGGCAAAGAAATGGAAGCAAGGATGAACAAAGGTGTATCCTGAGATTGCATACAAATATTTCCTTAATGTGTAAAAAGCTCTTACGAGTCAATAAAACAAGCTGCTTGAACATTAGGCAAAGGAGATGAACTGGGAGGTCACAGAAAAATAAATAAACACAAATAGCTTATTAACATATCAAGTGCTGGTCATGCTCATCCTTAAAGGCATACTATTTTTTTGTCACTTAAATAAAGAATGAAAGTTTAAGAATGCAGAGTTTGCAAGTGTGGGGGAAAATGGGAATGCTCGCATCGTGCTGGAGAGTGAAAATTAGGCTGGGCTGATTCTTACATTTAAAAACTCAAGGAAAACAAAAAATCAGTAAATGAAGGGGGTGTGTAGAAGCAGCGTACCTGTGCCTTTCTTACAGACATAAGGGAGGTTGTAATTGCAGGGAACATCGTTCCAGCGCCCACTCTCATGAGCCACCATCACCACACAGTCCTCCCCACCGGCAAAGAAATTGTCAGGCTGGTTCTCCCGCCAGTTCTCATATTGCTGCAGGAATAGGGGGGAGGGGTGCTCAGGGGACCGCATCCTGGCCTCGATTTTTGTCAAACTCCCCTGGCCAGACCACTCAAACTCTAGGGACTCAATCCCCGCACATACATAATGAGTGTTGTTCCATCTCTCCCTGAGGTCCAGCCACCCTCCTCTGGCCACAAGGCTGCAGTACCCCCTTCCTCCCTGGTGCTCCAACCTCTAGTCTTGCCCCTGACTATCTATTTTCCACATGGGTTCTGTTAGATAGTCAGGAGAACTTCTCTGAGGTGGCAACTTCTCTGAGGAGGACTGAAGATTCATGGAGAGGAATGATGCAGGCAGGGAACAGAATGGGAAGCAGAAGGAATAATCAGTGCAAAGGCCCAGAGGTAGCACAGCTTGTCCTGTTTGAGGGGTAAGATGGAGGCTAGAGGAGCTGGAGGTGCATGGTAGAGTTGGGGTGTGGTCAGAGAATAGGCAGGGCGAGTTCTCCTGGTGAAGGAGAAGAGGTGAATTTTTTCAAATTGTGGTAAAATATATACAACATAAAATTTACCACTTTAACCATTTTTAAGTGTCCAGTTCAATGGCATTAACTAGATTCATAATGTTGTATACCCATCACCACCATGTATTCAGGCTTTTGTCATCACACCAAACAGAAACTCTGTACCCATCAACAATCACTTCCCTCCCCCAGACCCTGCAGACCCTGCCAACCACCAACCACTCATCTGCTTTCTGTCTGTGGATGTGCCTGTTCTGGACATTTCATATAAATGGATCACACACTGTGGCCTTTAATGTCTGGTCTCTCACTCAGCATAAAGTTTTCAGGTTCATCCACATTGTAGCATGTGTCAGGGCATCTCTCCTTTTTTTTTAAAGATTTATTTATTTATGCATACAAGAACTGGGGTACAGGGCAGAGGTGAGGGAGGGTGAGAGGATTCACCAGAGACAGAGTGGGGAGCAGAACAGGCAGACAGACCGAAAACACTGCTGAGGAGAGCCGCAGGTGCGACAGGAGAGGTCTGCAGCGCCATGTGGGAATCTCCCTGGCATGGCTGGGAATCGATCCCGCCCTACAGAGGCTATGGACAGCTTCACAGCGCTGAGATCAACCCGCTGCGCCACCGCCACTGGGGAGGCCCCAAGGCATCTCTCCTTTTGATGGCTGAGTGATTGATGGATCAATTTGTTCATCCATTCACTAGTTGACGGATATTTGTTGTCTCCACTTTTTGACCACTGTGAATAGTGCTGCTCTGAACATGTGTGTAAAAATATCACTGAGTCCCTGTTTTCACTTCTTTTGCAGATCTAAGTAGGATAGGAATTGCCGGATCATATGGTAAGTCTATGTTTAACTTTCTGAGGGACTGCCAGACTGTTTCCCACAGCTGGAGGGGGTGGATTTTTATCTTGAGAACAACGAGCAGTCTGAGAGGATTTCAATCAGGGAGAATCCTGATCTGATCTATGATTTTTAAAAGGTTCTTGTGTACAGCATTTTTTTTTTTTAGGGGATTGTGGAAATGTTCTGGAACTACATGGAGGTGATAGTTGTACAACACTGTGAAGGTACTAAATGCTACTTTAAAAATGATTAATTGTGTATTATATGAATTTCACCTCCATCTAAAAAGAAGCCCCCATGGCTGTCAGCTGAAGGGACAGGAGTGTAGGTAGCCAGTGGACGGCTGGCTACTGCAGAGGTCCCAGTGAGCCGTTCTGGAGGCTGTACAGACTGGGCATGTAAGGAAATAGGGATACCTGGATGACCACAGCTGGAGGACCAGAGGGAGAGAAGAGAGGGGCACTGGGCTACAAACTGAGGTTTGCAGCCTCAGTTACTGGATGGACAAACCTTTGCCGGGCTGGGCAGAATCTCCTTTGCAAATTCCAGCATTTCAGAGCCCCAGGGAACATTAGACAGTATCTCACCTGTAGATGCTCTACACAAGAGGGTAAAGTGAGGCTGGGGTGATGGGCAGGGTGATAAGTCTCACCCAGATTCCTCAGTATAACTTCAGGGACCCAGGTCCTGGTTCCCACCAACTCACCAGCGCGGTATTGTCTGTCCACTGGAAGTCCCTCTCCACAATCCTGTCATTCAGGCCAATCCATGTATTCTCACGTCCAAAGCCTGTGGGGTAGAGGGGTCATGAGGGCTGGGCCCATCTCTCCCTCGGCCTGGTGTGCAAGCTGAGGCTGAGTAGGGGGTGTGGGAAAGAAAGCTGCCCTCCTTCCTCAGTCTGGAGGTGGGCTGGAGGGGAAAGGAGATGGAGGGGGAGCAAAGGTGAGAATGGGGTGGGAGAGGACCAAGAGCCCCTCCCAGCCTACAGTGTGGACTAGGGGCTGTGCCTCTCCCTCACTCCCCCCTACCTCAGCAGGCAGGACCCTGGCTGCCCTCTGACCTGGCGGGTGGAGTTAGGTCAGGGAAAGGGCTGGTATGAGGCCCCTTCGCCTTGCCACATGTGTGGCTTAAACAACCAGAGGAAGGACTAAACAACGACACATCAGACCTTTAAAGAAAAAAGGGAGCAAGGGGGAGGAGAGCCAGAGCTCTGGCTGGACGGAGGCAGGTGACATGGTCAGTCTCTGTCTGTGGGGGTCGGTCACTGAGGCTGGAGGAAGCTGCACAGCAGCTTGATTGATTAAGAGGAAAAAGAATCTAGGGAAACGGAAATGAACAAATGAAAGAATTAACAGGGACAAGATGGGGGAAACATGAATCTATGGGTGCATGAATAAATGGCAGAGGGATAATGAACAAACCCATAAGTGCTGGGCTTTAATGCACACTCCTCTCCTCCCAGGCCCCTCACCACTCCTTCTGAATTTCACCCCATCACAGATGCTTCCCTGGCATCCTCCATCCCCTGGCCAACAGCACACTGAGGACCAGCTAAATTATAGCACAGACTTATTTAATCAGTTACTTGCTTGACTGTGTCCCCACCGGGACCTTGCTGCCTGAGGACAGGGCAGCGTGCAGCTCACTCACTGCTATGTGCAGTACCTGGAACCAAGCCTGACACATAATGGGTTCTCTGTAAGTATTTGGTGAATGAATGAATGAAGTGGTTGTACGAATTAACAAACAGACATGTGAATAAGTGGTCAGGCCTATGGTGAACATAGCATAAAGGACCCTGGGAAAGGACGGCCACCCCTGCCCAGCCCAAGTCCCTACTGTTAATGAAGCTGTGTTCCTCCAGTGAGTGAACGCTGGTCAGGTGGCCGGCTCGGCGGCGGCAATCTCTCTCAGCATCCTCCCATGCCCGCCGATGGGCAAAGTAGCGGTAACAGTGGCCCTGGAACTTGTGCCAGCCGCGGTCACAGCCCTCTGTGTCTGGGAGGGGGTGAGAGAGTGAAGGGAACTGGCCTCAGTATGAGCACAGCCAGAGACAGAACTCAATGCCAGGGCACCTAGGGCCAGATAACCCGTCCCCTGGCCCAGCCCCTCCTCCTGAAGCTCTGTCCCCATTCGTTTCCACCTCCCGTTTTCATTTCTCTGTTGTTGGAAGAGTTTCAACAGGAAGAACATTACATCCATCCCTTCTTATCCCACCGTCAATGTCTTCTTTTCTGACCTGCGTGTAACTGGGAACTCAGGACATGGTCTCAGGAACGTCTAAAATTCCCTTGCTGACAAAAGGTCTGAATGTACATTTCTCTCAAAAAGATATACAAATGATCAACAAACACACGAGAAGATGCCCAGCATCATATGTCATTAGATGCCCATCAAAACCATAATGAGGGGCCTCCCGGGTGGTGCAGCGGGTTAAGCACCCCGCTGTGAAGCTGTCCACAGCCTCCGCAGTGCAGGTTCGATCCTGGCTGGCCGGTGAGAATCCCACATGGCGAGGCAGACTTCTCCTGTCTCACCTGCTGCTCCCCTCAGCAGTGTATTTCAGTCAGTCTGCCTGTTCTGTTCCCCACTCTGCCTCTGGTGAATCCTCTTACCCTCCCATGCCTCTGGCCTGTACCCCAGCTCATGTATAAAAATAAATAAATCTTAAAAAAAAAAACCCACAATGAGATACCACCACACACCCACCAGGATGGCCACGATCAAAAAGATTGATAGTAAAAGTGTTAGAGAGGATGTGGAAAAATTGGGCTCCGGTGCACTGCAGGTGGAAATGTAAACTGGTACATGAAAAACTGTCTGGCAGGTCCTCAAAAAGTTAAACACGGAATGACTACATGACCCAGCCTTCCCATGCCTGGTATATTCCTAAAAGAATAGGAGTGGGGGAATGGAAAATGTGTTCAAATAAAAAACTGTATCTGAATGTTCACAGCATGTTCACAACAATCACAAGTGAAAACAGCCTAAATGCTTCCCTGGTGGCACAAGGGGTAAAGTCTCAGCACTAATAAGCTGTAGGCAGCCACTGAAGCACAAGCCAGGGAGCTAACCCACATGGTGCAGCAGATCTCTCCTGTCTCGCCCACTGCTCAGTGGTGTATTTCTCCTTAGCTGTGTATTTCAGTCAATCTGCCTATTCTGCTCCCCACTCTGTCTCTGGTGAATCTACTCACTCCTTGTACCTCTGGCCTACACCCCAGCTCTTATATGCATAAATATAAAATAAAACTTTAAAAAAAAAACAAAAACAGGGCCTCCGCTGGTGGCGCAGCAGTTGACGCTGAGCTGCGAAGCTGCCCACAGCCTCTGCTGTGCTGGTTCAATCCCCAGCCACTGGTAAAGGTCCCACATGGCGCGCAGACCTCTCCTACCGCGCCTGCTGCTCACCTCAGCAGTGTCCTCCGTCTGTCTGCCTGTTCTGTTCCCCGCTCTGGCTCTGGTGAATTCTTTCACCCTCCTGCACTTCTGACTGTACCTAGTGCTTGTATAAATAAATAAACAAATCTTTGGAAAAAAAAAAAAAACAGCCCAAATGTTATTGAGCTGATAAAGGACAAACACAATGTGGTCCAGCCACACAGAGAGTATCACTCAGTCATAAAAAGGAGAGAAACCGGGCCTCCCTGGTGGAGCAAGGGGTTAAGATGCAGCACTCTGAAGCTATCCATAGCCACTGCAGCATGAGTTTGATCCCCAGCCAGGGAGGTGACCCACATGGCGCAGCAGACCTCTCCAGACTCGCCTGCTGCTCCCCTCAGCAGTGCATTTCAGTCAATCAACCTGTTCTGCTCCCTACTCTGTCTCTGGGGAATCCTCTCACCCCCTACACCTCCGGCCTGTACCCCAGTTCTTGTATGCATAAATAAATAAATCTTTAAAAAAAAGAGTGAAACCTTGACACACACTACAACATGGATGAACTAAAAACATGATGCTGAGTGAGAGACTAGACACAAAAGGCCACACAATGTGTGATCCACTTACATAAAAAGGCCAGAATAAGCAAGTCCATAAACTGACAGCAGATTAATGGCTGTCAAGAGCTGGAGGAGGGAGATGGGGATAGAGTCTCTTTTTTTTTTTTTTTTTTTTTTTTTTTTTAAATAGAGGCATGTTTATTTATTTATTTGTTTGTTTGTTTGTTCTGTTTACACATGCACTGGGTACAGTCAGAAGCGCGGGAGGGTGAGAGAATTCACCAGAGCCAGAGTGGGGAGCAGAGCAGGCAGAAGGACCGAAGTACACTGCTGAGGGGAGCAGCGGGCGGCAGGAGAGGTCTGCGCGCCATGTGGGATCCTCCGCCGGTGGCCGGGAAGCAGCCGGGGATCGAACCGGCACCGCAGAGGCCGCGGGCAGCTTCGCAAACCAGCGCTCAACCGCTGCGCCACCGGGGAGGCCCTAGAGTCTCTTTTTGGGTCATGTAATGTTCTAGAACTAGATAGAGATGGTGATTGCACACCATTGTAAATGTACTAAATGCCGCTGAACTGCATCTGCATATCTCTGTGTTACGTGAATTTTATCTCAAAATAAAAACAACTTCCCTCCTGCTGGAATTACCCTGAAGCAGAGGCAAAGAAAGACCTGGATCACATGTGGGAGACCTATGGCCAGCACACACCCCCACCACGGCACTGTTCCTGCCACTGTTTTCATCAGGGACTCACCCTTCTCACAGAGGCTGCCCCCGTAGCTGGGGAGGCAAAGGCAGATGAAAGCGTTGATCTCATCAATGCAGGTGCCCCCATTCTCACAGGGGCTGGAGACACAGTCATCAATGTCTGCAGGGAAGCAGAGGAGTTATAGGTCAGTCTAGCTCCCAGCCCCCACAGAGAACCAGGCAGAAAACAGGTCATGACCCCGCCTTCTCTCCAGAACCAGAGTGCAGGGACTGGTCTGGACAGATGGCCCAGTGAGTGTGAGGATCCAGGAGGGGGTCCTCCCACAAGTAACATGAGCTAACATGAATGAGTCATGCCACAAGCAGCTGCAGGCCAGCATGCACAGGCTCTCTCATCCAATTCCAGAACAGACGTTGATATTCTGGCAAGAGACCTATAGAATGTCAAAGCTGGGGTTTGTTTTTGTTTTTGTTTTTTTGAATATGGGACTCAGGGATGCTGGGTTCCAGAGCACTGCAAGCACTTGCAGTGTCAGCTCAAATCCTTAACTACCAATCCCCCTGTAGATGGCATCTGAGGCACGGATGACCCTGGTGGGTCACTTTGAGACTCAGTTTGCGTTTTTTTGCAAAATCACAATAGCACCTTTTCCAGGCTGGTTGTGAATGGAACAACAATGGAAGAGCTCAAGAAATTGTACAGTTTATGTTTATTGTTATAATTCTTTAATTAGTACAGCCATGTATCGATTAATGACAAGGATACCTTCTGAGAAATGTGTCACTAGTCAATTTCATCATTGTATGAAAGTCATAAAGTGTAATGACGAAAATCTAGAGGGTATAGCCCATCACACACCTAGGCTCTATGGTAGAGCCTATTGGGACCACTGTCATATATGTGGTTTTTTAGTGATCAAAATGTCATTAAGCAACACATGAACTAGATAGAGATGGTGATTGCACACCATTGTAAATGTACTAAATGCCATTTAGTACAGGAAGGGGTCCCTGTCCCCTTCCGTGTAGCCTTTGTAAAGGTTTCCACAGTCAATGGGATGATGCTCAGAGATAAAGAAATTATATTATTTATATTTATTGTTATAATTTCACAATTTGCCATATTTCCTGTGTTGGGCTTTAGGGTTAGCATCAAAAGGGTCTGGGGGTAGTGCCTGTACCCCTGCCCACCCAGGAGAGGATAGAAGCACCCTGGGCCCTAGGCTGCGAACAGTCTGAGCCTTAACCATTGTATCCCCCGCCTCCCCCCAGTAATAAGTGAGGGAGCACACTAGCCTCAATCCCCAGGATAGCGCAGCTGTTTGGAGCTGGCTCAGCTAACAGGGGTTAATTCACTGGATCCAAGAAGTGGGGGAGGAGGGAAGCATCTGAAACCAGTATTCTGTGACCCCTGAGTCCTAGGGGTGGCCCTGGGGTAGACCCTATGACTTTGAGTCAGATAAGTCTAAATGAAGACCCAATTCTGGGCACTCACCTATCTCGCAGTTCTCCCCGGTGTATCCCTGCTCACAGCTACAGCCATACATGGTACCATTGGCTTTACAGGTGCCACCATGCAGGCAAGGGTTGTTCTCACAGGGATCCAAGGGGGCTGCAGATAAACAGGAAATGTGGTGAGGAGTCACTACCTTCTTGCAATTCAACCCTTAGATCCTTTCTTATCCAATTCTTCTTTATGATTGTCAGTTTTTTCTCATATACCATTGTGATGATGAAGAGCTTGCTCTGCCCAGGAACTACTCCAAATGTCTGTAGGCTGCTCTGTGTGTATTAAAGGCACTTGGAATGAACTGGAATGGGCTTCCCAAATCTTCTCTGAGAACATGGGTTTAAGTGCCCTCTCTAATTGCCCCCCTCTTATGGACATGCCCTGGTAGTCACTATACTTGTCACAATTCAGAGCATAAGGGTAAACGAAAAGTTCCAGACAGGCTATGAACAGCTCTGGGAAGAGCAGGAACTATCACCTTCTCCATTCTGGTGGTTCAGTCTCTTTTGATACAACCTCAGTGGTTATACTGAGAAGTGGTAGATTATAATGATTATAACTGTGGGCAGTGAAGTCAGAGAGGCTGGCTGGACTCCTGGCTCTGCTATTTATAGGGCAAATTATTTCTCTGAATTTCAGTTTCCTCATTTAAAAAATGAAATAAAAATAATGCATCCTTCTCTTCTGATCATAATGCCATGTCCAGCTCTGTGTATATCAATCTTGAGGGGACTCAGCATGGATCAACACCCAGGGGAATGTGAGTCCCTGTCCCCTTCCTTGTCATTTCCCAGCTAGGTTTCCCTAGAGGCAAGAAGGTCTCCCATCCCCATCTTGGGGGTGGATGGTCTCTATTCTGGAGTCTAGGAGGGGCAGAAGAAGAACTCCCATCCTACCCCAGTCAACTCCAATCCTTTATCAGGGCAGTGTTCAATCCTTCCACTACACAGACACTAGAACCAAGGTCCAGAGAAGGATAGAGCCTGGCTCAAAGCCACAGAGAGATAGTACATGAGCCATCATGGCCTCCAGAGACCTGGAAGCCCTCATAAGGCCCCCTCTCCAGTCTTATAATCTAGAATTTGTTCTGTTTTGTCCAGACTGGAGCTTCGCAAAAAACCGAGATGGTAACAAGCAGTCTCTTCCTCCCTGTTTTTCTGATGCCCACTTCACTCCCCACATTCACCAGAGGGGGTCTATGTAAGCCTGAGACAGAACACAGTCCTCCTCAACTTAGATCCCTTGATGCCTCCCCATCACCCTCCGAGGAAGTTAAATCCCTTACTGCAGGCCACAGGGGAGGTTTCCCAATACCTGCCTTCCCAACCTCCCCCACTCTTCACCTTGTTCATGCCATTCCAGTCACAATGGCCTTGCTGTTCTTTCCACATATCAGGTACAGTGGACCTCAGGGCCTTTGTACAGACTGTCCTTAGACAGGCTTCTACCTGGACCACTCTTCCCTGGATTTCCACCTGGCATCTTCTTTACCGCAGGAATTTTGTCTGATGAGAGGCCTTTCCAGACTCCTTCCAAAACTTCAAACCACCATCAATTGTTTCACTTTTTTACTCTGCCCTCATCGCTTTCTAACTCCCAATATAATTTATCAAGGTCATTACCTCCTGTCCCTGCCTCCCCCAGAGTGGTTATGTTCCACAGGGCAGCTACATACAGCTCTTGAGATTTAATTAAAATGGAAGAGAATAAAGAAAATTCCTCTGTTGTACTAGCCACTTTAAATGCTTAGTGGCCACCCATGGTGGTAGCTGTGTACGACAGTGGGGCTTGAAGACATTTCCATTTGGGGAAAAGTTCTAGAAGGTCAGCTTTCAGAGGCAAGGGGCTTAGTCCCGGCATAGAGCCTGGAACACAGAAGGCACTCAGTAATTGCTTGCTAACTGAATGCAGGTAGCTATTGGCCCTCCTGTCTTGCCTGGGTGTTGGTTGTGTCTGTTCCAGGTGTGGCCCCAGCACGTGTGCGCACATGCATGGGGTTGTTGGGCACAGGGACGCGTGAGACCTGCCAGGTGCCCTGAGCTGCCGACACCTGCCCACGGACTGGCAGTGACTCAGTCACTTGCTGGTGCTGCGTTTATTTTTGGCTTCATTAGCATTTCTGCTGCAAACCAGGGTGGGAAGGCGACCGGGTCTCCCTGCCTCCCTCCACTCAGCTGCTGCCGCCGCCACTGACTTCAGTCTGTATCCAACAATACAGCAAAGTCAAAGGCGGACCCAGCTCTCATTCAGCAACCCCCGTGTGGTCTCCTTCCTGCCTTTCTGCCCACCCTTCAAGGTTGGACCTCCCCAGAACCTCTCCTTCTCTGTTCCCTCTCTGAACAAGCTCACCCTCTCCCAAGGCTTCAGGCTGGGTGCTTTTTTTTTTTTTTCCACCCATGAAAGAAACACCATACAGCCTAATGGGTGAAACAGAGACCCTGTTGTCAGATGGCCTGGTTTCAAGCCTTCTTCTAGGCACTCCCAAGGGTGTTACTTTGCAAAAGTCACTTAACTGTTCTGTGCCTCAGTGTCTCCATCAGTAAAGTACAGAACTTGTTCCACAAGGATATAATAGGGATTAACCAACATGATTTCAGTAACGTGATGAGAACAAGGCAAGCATTCAGGCAGAACCGAGAAGTGTCAGTCTTTATCAGCACATGCACCCAGAGTCCACCTGAGCATCTAAAAAAAGAGGATTTGACCCAGGACACAGTCCAGAGGTGACAGAGTGGGCAACAGTACCCAGCATCTGCTACTTCTACCACTGCCTTCAAAAAAAAAAAAAAAAAAAAGGAGTGCAAAACCAATTGTGTTAACGAGTGTTTTGCAACTCAGCTAAAGTACCTTTTTCTTAAGCTTACTTGGCCAAAACAAACAAACAAAAGCTCAATATGGCAGGACCTAAAAAAAGAGGTGGAGGCAAGATTTGCAGTCTGGGTTGTGGACACACCTGGCCCTGGAGAACAGGGCATGGCTTTCTCTGGACCCCGACACAGAGCGAGCACTGACGCCCATGTCGGCATGGGCCCCCAATGAAGTTCAACCACTGACTGATTGGTAGTGACATGCCTCCTGTGCCTTAGTCTCCTGTCTGTAATATGGGGTGATGCCCATCACTCTCACCCCTTCCCAGCACACACTTTCCCTGTGGCTTTGGGTCCCTCCATGATCCATATCACTGGATTCCAATACAAGTCCCACCTGTCCAGGAAGCCCTCCCTGCCATGCCTTCTACTTCCGCCCCCTCACTGTCCCAGACTGAGGAAGCACTGAAGGACAGCCCCCAGCACCCCACAGCTCTTAGAGCAGACATGAACATGATTTGTTGACTGACCTCATCCCCCAAGCCAAACTGTCCCCAGTGCCTCCATGTGCATCTAAACACATCAAGTTCATTATCATCTTCTGGTCTTTTTGCCCTTGCTGATACCCCTCCCAGGGAAGTCCTTTATACAATTCAACTCCTGACAAGTTTCCACCTCCCACGTCACCACTGCTAGAAACCTTCCCAGGTCCCTTCACTCCCTGCTCTGGCTTGCCAGCCCCAGGTTCCCAAGGCCTGACCTCAGTAGATGGGATGGGGCCATAAGCTTGGAACTCACCCTCCTCCACAGTGCAGTTGGTGGGGCTCGCTAGCACGGTGGGCTCTTCTCCACTGGCTGCGTCTTCCCAGAAGCCTTCCACACCTGGGCTCCCCCCCAGGACTTCCAGCTCAAACTCCTCTCGGTCCAAGGAAGTAGGCAGGAGGGTGCTGGGGGGGTTCCACAGCATGGTAGTCTCCCCTGAGGACACTGAGGCAGGCTCCTCCATGCTGGCTGAAGTCGGTGTCCAAGGAGGAAGACCAGGCTCCCCCAGGAGGCTGCCCTTGTGTGATGGAGCTGAGGTTCCTACTGTCTGGCCCTCCAGCTCTGGATGGGGTTGGGACCTTGAGGAGACCAATGTAGAAGGGGCCAGGTCTCCCACCTTGGTCCCCTGGTCCAGGGATATTAGGGACGTGACCACACTTGTGTCCACAGGCCCTTGAGGACTCATGGTGGAAATTTCAACTCCCTCAATCATGTGGGAATTAGGTTCCCAAATTCCACCAGCACTGCTGGGGTCCAGCATGGCTGTAGAAGCCATGGGACCCATTGTGGCTTTTTCATCTGTAGCAACCCAAGTCTCCAAACTTGGGGTCACCCCAGGCATCAAGAAGACCCCAGGTCCTCCCAAAGGTGTATATTTGGGGTGCAAGTCCAGCCCTTCACTGTGTAGTGTGGGCCACATGCCCTGTACCTCCTCCATGGTAGTCTTCCATGCTGTGCTGATGACCCCAGAATCAGTCTCCAAGATGCCTCTGGCTCCTGTGGGCTCAGTGGCAGCCTTAGTTGGGGGGAGATCTGTCACTAAAATCTTGTCCACAGAAGCCTGTGGGCTGGATCTGGGGTGTTCAACTTTGCTGAGCTGAGTGGGCCTGGTTCTCCCAGTTTCTCCAAAGTCTGCCCTGGGAGAGATAGGCCTAGCCCCAGCTTGTGTGTCCATGTCTGCCTGTGAGGGAGCTGTGGGACTTCCTGCACTGTGACCACTGGGTGTGACCTCTCCACTCTGTCTTGTTGGGACCGAGGAGGTCAGGGAATATACCTCTGGATCAATGGGGTCCTGGGCGCCAGCCTTGGTGTCTGAAGCAGGGGAGGGTGAAGAAGATGCCGTGGCCTCACTAATCACCTCAACCCTGTTGGCCTGGGTGGGAAGGGGCGTAAAATGTGGTAGGAGCCATAGTTTGGGGGCACGAAGCATGGCCATCACAGGGAGGTCTTGGGAAGTGACCATGGGGGAGGCATCCCATGGGGCAGAACTGGGGCTTTCAGAGGGACTGAGAGCTGGGGTAGTGGTCTCTGAGGGGGACCAGGGCAGGTTGGGCATGACCGGTCTCACACTAGGATCCTTAGCTTCCTCTGGCTCCAGGCCAGGGTCCCTGCTAGGGCCTGAGATGCTGTGTGGGGCCAAGGTTGGGGGCCATAGCCAGGGCTCTGCGGGACTCCTGCCGCCAGCAGAACCTACAACATCAATGACAAGAATCATCATTACCTTTATCAATAGTTGTTGACATCTCCTTGGCTCTAAGCATAAGGAAGAGAGCTTCTGAGGAGTGATAAAATCAGGGAACCCAGCTGGGATTCAGACTCTCCCTTCCTCCCTACCTCCCCACTCCCTTTCCAGGCCCTCAGTCAGATCCCACCTCCCTCTTAAATTCCACTCACCTGCTCCAGGGACATCCACCTCATTGGTCAGTACGACCCAGGGTCTTTGGCTATGGTCACTCCCCAAGGACTCTGTGGTTTCTGTAGTCAGGGGAAGCTCCACATGATTTCCAGCAGCTTCTGGGGTAGGGGGCTGGGAACTGGCCTCCAGAGCCCCCTGTAGACCTTGCTGGGGTTCCTGCTGCTGGAAGTGGCGTCCATTCAGTCCCTTGAAGCGTCCCCTCTTCCTGGGTATGGGACTGGCAGGGGCTGTCACAGTGTTTGTGCCAGTACTGACTGCCACCACCAGATCAGGGCTGGGGGCTACTGTGCTCAGCCATACCCCTTCAGCCCCCAAAGTAGGGCTTGAGGCCAGCATGAGACTCCCAGGGGCAGGGCTATGGGTGTCTACAGATTCCTGCTTCTCTCCCAAGATCAGAGGGTCTTCCTCTCCACTGGATACCAGTGGCTCCTGGAAATTAGGTGTGACCACTTCTCCCAGGCTGGGCTCCAGTTCTCGGTTTGGGGGCCCTTCTGCAGACAAAATCTCCCCCTCATCCCCAGATGAAGGGGTGTCTGGGTCTCCATGCTGTGGTGAAGGGTGATGAGCTGTGGAAGAAAATACAAAAGATTGTTAGGCACAGGAACTGGCTGGGAAGTTCTGACTGTCTATCCACAGTCTAGTACACTATAGCACAGACCTGGGTATCTCTATCTCTGTGCTCCTCTATCTCTCTCTCTGAGTGGTCGCTGGGATCCCCCAGCTTCAGAGAGGGAAGTGCAAAGTTATTACCCACACTGTTCAGGCTGCAGCCCAACTGAACCCCCAGTCAAGGTTAGAGTCAATTGGTCACAAGTGGTAAGAGATCAAGAGGTGGCTCCTGGAGGCAGGCCCTACCTGCACCATGGTGCCTGGAGGGTGGGGAGGGAAATACCCAATGGACATGGCTTCCTACAAGATCTTTGTTTCCCTTACACAGAAAACTCAGTATCTTGAGGTTAAAGTTTGCAGCCACTGAGGCTGTGGGCCACCCAGTTCAAAGGTGAGGGCCATCCCTCATTCTGACCCTGGGGTGTGGTCTTGATGGAAGTGTGGCCAGTGGGGGAACTCATGTACAGGACTCCAAGTAAATTATGCTCCACCCATGGTCGACACTTCCAGGGACCTCAGGAGATATGGTTCATTCCCAAACAGAACTTCCTGCACCAGAGCTGGGTTGTGTCCCTCTCCAGGAGTATGGCTCCTGGAGCAAGGCCTTCTATGGGGGCGTGGCTTATCGCAGAGCGTATTTCCACGCCCCAGTCTTGGCCTCCACTAGAAAGCAGAGCTTCCAGGGTCTTCACCTAGGTGCATGCATAGGGGCGTGCTCTTTAGGGAACCCAGCCTCTGAGGACTTGGCCTTCACCTGGGGCGTGGCCTTCAACCGGGCAGGGGGCGTAGTCACCCGGGGACCCCGCCCTCTGAGATGCGGCCTTCACCCCGGTACAAGCCGGTGGGGACGTGGCCCTTCGCGCACCTCGGAAGCAGTAGGCATCGAAACGCGCTCCTGGAGCAGGGAAGCCGGTGCGGTTGGCGAAGCGGTACACGGTGCGTACTCCTGGGGCCGGGCCCCCACAGCGCCGGCGCGGAGTCTGGATCGGGTAGCGCACGCTGCCGTCGGCCAGCCAGCCCGGGTCGCACTGGTCCAGGCCCTCGTGCCAGGCGAGGTGCAGCTGTCCCACCGAAGCCAGCGTGGCTCCCTGGCGGCGGCACTGGGCACGCGCGCCGGCCAATGTCAGGCGGCGGGCGGGGCCCACGTAGAAGACCTCGCCTGCGGGAGGGCGCAGGAGAAGGTCACCTGGGGCCAGTCACCCTCCTCCGGAGCCAGGAAACAGCCCCACTCCAAAGAGCCTCCCTCCACCGGGCTGGATTTTGGTGGTGGGACTTTAGCTTCTTTTTAAAAATGAGGTAACCCAGACAACGGAGCTAGTCAGCCTTCGGAAAGAGGGTGGGGCTCAGTGAGGGGCTCCAAAGAGAGGGAAGGAAATAGAAAAGGGGATGGGGACCAGTAGGGGATTGCTCAGGGAAGGGGTTGGATGGCTGCAGGTTGAGAAGGATGACACTTAGGAGAGTGAGGCAAGAATTTAGGGAGGAATGGGGTTTGAGAAAGGTAACAGGGCAGGGGGTGAGGGTCCTGCCAGCCCAGACTTACCCCCCAGCTCACGGGCAAAGCAGTAGACGTCATAGAGTTCCTGTGGGTTTCTTCTCCCATAGCTCCTGACTCCTGGAAGGCTGCTACGGTCACCATAGCAACCTGGTCTGGACTGAGTGATGGGATACCTGATAAGACAAGGAGGGATTCCTGCTCAGATGTATGCTCCTGAGGTCCCCCACAGACCCATCTTTTCTCAGAGGCTACTTCTCCACTTCCCCCTGCCCCAGTAGCCCCTCACCTAACAGTACGATCAGAGAGCCACCCAGCATCACAGTTGTCAAAGCCATCCTCAAAAGCAGCCTGCAGGTGCCTTGGGGCCGCTATGGTGGCTGAGCTGAGACGGCAGGCTTCCTGGGCTTCAGCAAAGGTTAGTGCATAGCGATCCTGGGCAGCCCGGTAGTGGAACACAACACCTGTGGGGGAACATCCAGGGTGGAGGGGGGATCAACTTAAGTTGGAATCTTAAAGAATAAAACTCCCCCTTACAGAATGAACACTCCCCCATGTCTGATAATAAACCTGCTGCTCTTCCCTGCCTCATACCACACTCACTTGCTCTGTGCTAAGTACAGCACAGGAAGAGGTTGGGAAATGAGACTGATATGCTCCCATTTGACAGATGAGAAACTTAACTATGGTCATAAAGGGCTAGCATTTTTCAAATGTTTACTATGTAAAAGCACTTATAAGCATTACCTCATTGCAATTTTACAACTACCCTGATAATTCTCATTTCCAGAGGAAGAAACTAAGGTTCAGAGAAATTGAGGGACATGTCCATGGCCAGTATGAAGCAGTGCCAGAATTTATATTCGGGAAGATGTGACACCAAAGATAGCACTCTTCATGCCCAGGGTTAGAACCTGGAAGTGACAGGAGGCCTGAAGAAGAGTGAGAGAGAGTCTGTCTTTTAGGAATTATGGACATGTGCCAATAGATGAAGCAAAGGCAGCAACCAAAGATGAAATGTGGTTCTTGCTTGGTCTGGGAATGGAGTCATGGGAGGCTTCCGGGACAAGGTGACATGTAGGCATCAGTAATAGGCTCCCTGTGACTAAAATTCTGATTTAGGGATGAAAAAAAATGGCTGAGCAAGACAAAGGAATGAAACACTCCTCCATCTAATCAGACCAAGCGCCACTGGAGGATGGCAGCAGCATCTCAGCCGTGGCTATGTCCCCACCCTGAGTTGGCACATGGCAGATGCTCAGATGTCTGAGTGGATGAATTAACTGAACAAATGTAGAGGTGGGATTCATTTCCTTCACCACTTATTAGTTTTCTTCCAGGTTTATGGATTTTGAGAAGCAAGACTGTAGAAAGGGAATGATGGTAGACTTCATAAATGCAGCGAGGCCCTGTAGGATAGGCGAGATGGAGTCTTCGGACAGGAGTGTAAGATCCTGCTCATGACCAACAAAAGTGATGGGAAATGGACTTTGCCGCAGGAGTCCAAAAGTATTTTCCATACAATAACCCATGCAATGAGTGATTCATCAGATATTCAATAAGCAACTGCTATGTGCCAGGCCCTGTTCTAGAACTGTGTTTTAATAATTAAAAATAATATATCTTTGCCTAATTTTCTTTGACCAGTTAGGAAAACAAAAAGTGCACTGGGTAGTTCAACAGAAAGGATTTAATACAGGAGTTGGTTAAACGTGTATTTGAGGACTATTATTTACTTAATATAGTTTTAATTGACTTTTTGAAAAATACTCACTTTTTTAAAAACATAAATACATTTATTTTAAAAGGAAATTTGCATTCCTATTTTTAAAATTTATTTTATTTATTTATGTATACAAGAACTGGGGTGTAAGCCAGAGGTGCAGGGGGTTAGAGGATTCACCAGAGACAGAGTGGGGAGCAGAACAGGCAGATCTACACTGATGAGGGGGAACGGTGGCTGAGACAGGAGAGGTCTGCTGTGCCATGTGGGTAGCTCCCTGGCTGTGGGTTGAACACATGCCACAGTGGCTGGTGATAGCTTGATAACACTGAGACTTTAACACCTGCACCACCAGGGTGTCTCCAGCATTCCTATTTTAAATGCACTATCCTATATCCTTTGCCTTGTGTAAAATTAGGTAGCCATAAAATGGTTTAGGTAGCCATAAAACTTGAAGCTATGAAGTCCCTTGAAATACTGTGATCCATAAAAGAGACAGAGGCTGCTCTCAGCTAGAGAGAAAGGTGTAAACACAGCAGTATCTTTGGGGACTTTCTTTGTAACCTTATCTGGAAAAGGAATAGTTCAGAGAGTGATTTCTGAGATAACACACAGTGGGTGGGCTTCAGGCCCAGTCCCTCCCATCCCAGCTCAGCCTCTCCCCTGCACCCCACTGACCTGTCACCTCTAAGGGCACCAGGTCCTGCTCATCTTCAATGCCTCTCACCACCTGGCAGCGGTAGAGCCCCGAGTCGCTGGCCCGCAGCGGCCCCAGCAGCAGCGTGGCATTAACCCGGTGGCGGGGATAAGCAGGCAGTGACACACGCCCCTGCCAGCCCTTGGCCACTCGCACCACATTGTCTTTGGCCACCAGGATGGGCAAGTCCTGCCGCTGGCCAGACATAGTCCGAACCTTGGTCCACTTGATCCGAGGGGCCTCTCGGGCAGCACCTGGCTGTGGCTGCAGGGCAAAGAGACAAGGCAGGGCCACCAGCTCTGCCAGCGCAGCCCTCACTGACCCGGACCCCACATTCTGCATGTGCAGTCCCTTTTCAGCAGCATCCTGCATCCCTGGGGTGGGGAAAGTGGAGAGAGAGTATGTTTCAGAGATAGGGGCTAGCACAGACTGCTGTGTCCCTCACTTTACAGATGTGGAGGCCTAAGCCAGGGAGGGTAGGTTTCCCACACAATGTCACAACACAGGGCACATATCTCCCATCACCCCCATCTGTGAGCAGAGGAGGATGAGTAATTTGAATTCCTCCAAATTCTGCCTCCACTTAAAATCTTTATCCTGGAGGTCTCTTCCTATAGGGACAGAAATTTGATTCTCATTGTCACTCACTCACTGTGTGGATGTGGAAGTGTCATTCTTTCTGAGTCATGGTTTCCCCAAAAGCTAAGCAAAAGACAGCCATTGGAAAGAAAATGGTGTTTGCAGAGTACATTCTATAAAGCAGACACTTTATAGATAACTCATTTGATTTTCATTACCATCTGGAGGTAGCCCCCATCTTCCTTTGGGGGTTGAGGAAACTGAGGTTTGAAGAGATCACTGTACATGGCTGAGGCCACAGAGCACATTTCTACAGCCTGGGCTTTTGACAACCACTGGGGTGAAGCAGCACAGGGATCTCATTTCTATTGCCCCACCCATGGCAGGCATCACTAATCAATTTCTGCACTAGTCTCATTTTTCTCTTTTTTTCAGCTCATCTCAGCAAAACTGTGAGAGGCGGGAACCTCCTGCCTCCGCTGGCAATGACTAAAAATAACCTCTCAGGTGTCTTGTTCGCTTTTGACTGTTCAAAGACCTTTTTTATCTATTCTCATTTTATTCTCCAGATCAGGCCAGGGAACCAGCAGGAGGAGGCTCTCCAGGTAAAAGGCTGCCTCATCCATCATATGAACCCCTAGATTCTAACATCTCGCACACATAATTCAACTCACCCCGCTCTCCAGTCACAAAGAGCAACACCTGGAACATCAGGAGACCCAAGGTCCAGACAGACATGGCCCCCATTCTGGACCTAGAATGAGGTGGAGAGGGAGAGAGAGGGGGGTGGGTGAGCACAGCCATCCTGACAGTGGACATGAAAGGACATGACCCTAGCTCTACAGATCTGGAAATGAACTCAGAGAGGTGAGTGTGGTCCCTCAAGGTCACACAGTCTACAAGCAAGAATCCAAACTCCGTATCCAAGCAGTGAAGTCTCATTGTTAGAATCATGGATGCTGAAGTGAATCATACCTCGGGTTATCTCTCTGCCTGTACCTTGTTGTGTGACCTTGGGTAAGCAGCTTAGCTCTCTGTGTTCAGTTTCCTTGTAGGTCAGATGAGGATACATCAGGTAGTTGGAAGAAACTGATGAGTTAATACAGAACATATATATATCTATATATATGTATCTATACACACATACATATATATTTCTAAGCATACACACACATATTATTAGAACTGCCTGGCACCAAGGAGTATAATATATTTTTTAAGATTTATTTATTTATGCATACAAAAGCTGGGGTACAGGCCAGAGATGTGGGGGCAGGGGGGTGAAAGGATCCACCAAAGTCAGAATGGGGGACAGAACAGGCAGACTGACTGAAATACACTGCTGAGGGGAGCAGCGGGCGAGACAGGAGAGGTCTGCTTTGCCATGTGTGTTGCTCCCTGGCCGGCCAGGGATTGAACTCATGCTGCAGAGGCTGCAGATTACTTCATAGTGAGGTGCTTAACCCCTTGCGCCACCAGGGAGGCCCAAGGAGTATATTTTAACTATTATTATCATTAACCTTTACACAGTTAAGATAAAAATCTCACTTTTCAAGTCAGTCTCCCCCATCAGAATGGGGAGTCCTCCAGGGCAACAGACTGGCCTCCTAGCCAGACTTTAATCTGGTTTTGCTTACTGACACGATTCTCAACTTCAATTCCAGGAGTTGGTTGTCGCCAAGGTTCTATTCTTAGTTTCTAAGATTTTTTTGAGGAGCTTCCAAGTACCATCCAGAGGAAGGGGCCTCACCACTGCCCACCCCATCTTCTGCCTTCACACTACCTGGTGAAGATGCCTCTAGGTTTGCAGAGAAATTCCAATTGTGGATCCAGCCTTTTATAGGGGCTGTGGCCCACAGGCACAAAGTGGACAATTATTAAGCTATAATCTACAAACAAGCTATAAGCACCAGAACACAGTGGTGCCCTCTCAGACCTCACATTCTTCCAGAGACTAGACATCCTGGGGAGGTGGCCTCTCCCCAAAGTCTCTCACCCTTCTGGAACACGCAGCCCACCTCTGGAGCTGAGGTAGGGGCGGATGGAAAGTTAGAGCATTACCTACAAACCCACTCCTGCTCTGAGGACAGTATGGTTGGAATCCAGAAGTTGTGTGTGTGTGTGAGTGGATTGTGGGGAACAGTTGCTTCCCCTCCAGTGCTCACCCAGCTGAAGGCCCAGCCTGGAGGCCGGTGGGGACCTGTCCGTGGTGCTGAACCGTGGGGTGGCAATGCTGCAGCAACACACACTTGGCTTTGCCTTTTTATTTTTATTTTTTTTAAAGATTTATTTATTTATGGATACAAGAACTGGGGAACAGCCAGAGGTGTGGGGGTGAGAGGATTTACCAGAGACAGAGTGGAGAACAGAATAGGCAGACTGACCAAAATACACTGCTGAGGGAGCAGTGGGCAAGCCAGGAGAGGTCTGCTGAACCATGTGGGTAACTCCCTAGCTGGGGATCAAACTCATGCAGAAGTAGCTGGTGATAGCTTCATTGGGTGCATCTTAACCCCTCTGTGCCACCAGGGATGCCCGGCCTTGCATTCTTAAGGTGGCGCCTCCAGGCCCAGAGAGGAAAAGTGGTTGCCTAGTGCTACACAGCAAAGCAGATCCCGAGCTCTAAGATAGTACCCCCAACTACCAACCTGTAAACTTCAGAAACCTCTGTCTCCCTCTCAGGTTGTCTACATTTCTCCTTCTCAGAGCCCCTAGCAAGTGCAGTGTCACACTGATGGCTGTTCCAGGCCTGGCTGAGTATTGGTCCCAGGAAGACCTTAGGAGGGGATGAGTACAGAGAATTCTGCATGTGTGTGTGTGTGTGTGTGTGTGTGTGTGTGTGAGAGAGAGAGAGAAAGAGAGAGAGAGAGAGAGAGAGAGAGAGAGAGAGAGAGAATAATTAAGAGCTCGGACTTCATCCAGATTACCTACGCACTGCATGACTCTAGACAGGCTACTGCATCACTCTGCCTCAGTTTCCCTGTAAAATAGGTATCACCCAACATGTACCTCAGAGGGTCATTGTAAGGATGGAATGAACAAAGCTTTGTAAAGTCCTACAAAATATTAAATTAAAAACCAGCTTTTGGAACACAAAGGCTCACATCATACACATGCAAATACACTGTGGGCACTTGATTGCCCACAGTGACACAGTTTCAGGTGCATCCCCCCCACAAGCATGCGCATGTGCGCACACACACATTCGCCCTTCCACACACACTTGTCCCTTACACTCACACCCTCATGCATCCACACCCCTTCTCTTAAAATATCTCCTCCAGAGGGCCACCAGAGGTGAGCATTTACACAGCTGTCTAGGGCTTGTCCCCTCATGAATAATGTATGAGCCTTATGCATATGCAAGCAGGGGCCTGCAAGCGGTGGGGGAGGGGCAGCCCAGAAAGAGTTGGGGGAGGAGAGAGAGAGAGATTGAAAGAGACAGAGATTGAAAGAGGTTGCCAGCAAGCGTTCCAGTCTGTCTGTGTCTGGGTGTACTTCAGGGCAGGGATGTTCATGAGGTTGTACCCTGTGGTAAGTCTTGTTCACATCTGCAGCAGCTGCATGCACTGGATGGAGCTTGAAGGACCCAGAGTGGACCCTGGATGGACCATGAGCACGTGTGTGTATCTGGTCTGTAAACCAGAGAGAATTTATGTACATGGGCATGAGCAGGGAACTCAAAGGAGAAAGGAAACTGCGCTCAGTAAATCATTCCAAGCTACCCCTTGGGTAATTCAACCCCCTGCCAACTTGTTCCCCCTCAACTCCCCCACTGCACACAGACCACATCCCACACCCTTACGCCCAGAGTCCACATGGCCAGTCACATAGACAGGACCCTTGCTGTACACATGGGTCACACACGTGGGCACTGCCTTGGACACAGAGCCTGGGAGACACACACAGATTCACAATGACATTAACAAAGAGAGACAATATGAGCACTCAAAGGCAGGCAGCACATCTTCTGTACAAAGAAACACACCCAAAGCCTCAGGCTCCCCACAGAAACCCCTCAATGAGGCTAAACCATTGGACAGCTCCCCCCATACACTCACACACACAAAACACAGGTTCTGGCACGGACTGGGCTGGATAAATGTGGCTTTGATGACTGGTGGGCACACATTAATTTTGCCACCTGGTGATGTGTCCCCCAGTACGAGTTTCCTGACAAAGACATAACCTCAGTGACACCAGACTCATAGAGAACCCCAGAACCCATCCACCCTGCCCCCACCCTCTCTCCCAGTCTGGGGTAGACACATACCCAAAGCCCCCACACCCTGAGGGATACTTTCCATTTGGGAATGCCCACAAACCAGTGAGTTTGTTGGGTTCTGTGGTCCCACGGTCCGCCCACCTCGCCCTTCCCACCCTTCCCCCACAACCCCCGCTGGGGCCCGTGCCAACCCTCTCCTGGGCCTGGCTGTCTCCCATTAGTGCTGCCTAGAGGAACAAAGCCCTGCATGGAAGAATGGGGGTCGCTCCTGCCCAGGCTGGGCCTGGGTCCCAGTCCCCTACTTCCCAGTGCCTATGTCCCCCAAACAGGACAGGACTTTCACACTCGTTCATATGGATAGAGAGAAATGAAGGGGTGAGGCAAGTGTCTGTGTATTGCTGAGGACTCAATCAGCTATGGAAGTGCTGAGGGTAGCCCCCTCTTGGGATTGGGTGCCCCTCATGGGCCCTGGGAATTTTAACTGGGAGTTTAAGGGTGCTCCCACCCAGCAGTCACCTGAGAGACCCAGGGTGCTCCCTGTAAGAAGGGACAGCACCCCCAACTCCAGGTTCTAGGGGGAAATGGGGACCACCTTGGAATGGAGCCCCTAGAGCCTCCTCCTTGAGTCAGAATGTGGTGACCCAGCCTGAGCAAAAGGATAGGGAGACCGCAGGTGTCCCTTCCTCATGGTACTCACTCTCAGTGCAGACCCCCCTCCATCGGGCTCAGGCTGTTCTGGGGGGCCCCCTCTCTTCTGCGGTCCAGCCTGGAATCCTCAATTCATCTGAAAATTGGGGATCCCCACTGAAAATCCTGCGGTGTCTTAGCTCAGACACCGGGGATAGCCTGTTCTGAAGTCCTCTATAGCTATAGCATTGGGTGTCCCCCTCTTCTCCCTAAACTCGAGGCGCCCCTCCCCTAGCCTTGTCTCCCAGTGTCCCCTTCCAATTCAGAGACCCACCCCCAACCCAGTCCCCTCCCTACAGTGGGGTCTTCTCCGCATTCTCGGGACAACCTAATCTTTACATCTGCATCCTACTGACATTCTCAAACGACCTCCCAGTTGGCGTTTGTTCCCCAACCCACGGCTCCCCTCCCCCTCCCAGCCCCCTCCCCAAGGAAGGGGAGGCTTCTCTCTTATCCTAGTCTCCCTCCCTAATCCCGGGTTCTGTCTCAAATCCCAAGGAACTCTCCCACGACGCGACACCTTCCCCACGACGGACCCCCACCTGGTTCCTAGCTCGGACGCATCCCGGGGCGGTCGCCCAGCACAAAGGACGCTCGAACTCTGCAGGCTCCGCGCGGGGTCCAGCCCTGCGCCCTGCGCTCGGCTCTCCCCGCGCCGCCTCAGCGCTTATAAAGGGGCCATGGGGCCTCTCTGCGCATGCGCCCCCGTCTGCCGCCCGGGGCTGCGCGAGGGAGGGGGCTCTCCCTGCCTAAGTCCCACCGCACACACTCTCTGCACCACTCACCCCACCCCGGGGGAGATCGCTCCTGATTTTTCCCCATTCACTTCGTTCCAGGAGCCACGTTAAATGTCCCCAGTCGCCTCATGGTGGTGGTACCTACCCCATCTTACAGATAGGGAAACTGAGCCCCAGGGAGGTCTAGTCTCTCCCAAGGTCATGCAAAAGGGAAAGTCAAAGATGGCATTATAACCCTGGCATTCCTGACTCTCCAGGGCTCACTCTTGAAGCAGTTTGGCTCCAATTGTCATTTTATATTGTCGATGGAAAGGCAATGTTTCAGAGAGGACAGAAGATTCCTGGGTGACACACAGCTGGAATGACTTGTCAGGACCTAGTCAAGAAATGTTGCACCCCTGAGCTTTTTCCATCACCTTTGGCCACATCGGGGCATTCATTCATTCCTTTGTCCATTTGCATTCATAGAGCACCAGGTACTGTTGTCACAGGAATAATTTTTCTTTGGGCAGGGGACATGTGTCGTGTCTTTGTAAACTGAATCTTAAAATGTCCCCAACATGCACTGGAATATAACTCAGCCATAAAAAGAAGTAAATCCCTGATACACTACAATATGGATAAACTTTAAAAACATGATGCTGCGTGAGAGAAGCCAGGCACAAAAGGACACATAGTGTGAGATCCATTTAAATAAAATGTCCAGAATAGTCAAATGCACAGATTTGTGGTTGTCAAGCACTGGAGAGGGGGATGGAAGTGACTATCATGGAGATGAGATCTCCTTTTAGGGTGATAGAATATCCTAGAACTAGATCGTGGTGATGATTGTACAATAATGTGAGTATAGTTGGTTTCACTGAAATGTACATTTAAAAATGGTAAATGTTGTGCCTTTTATTTTTTTTAAAGATTTATTTATTTATGCATACAGAGCTGGGTACAGGCCAGAGATGCAGGGGTGTGTGTGTGTGTGTGTGTGTGCGCGTGCGTGAGAGAGAGAGAGAGAGAGAGAGAGAGAGAGAGAGAGAGAGAGGATCCACTAGAGACAGAATGGGGAACAGAACAGGCAGACTGACTGAAATACACTGCTGAGGGAAGCAGCGGGCATGACAGGAAAGGTTTGCTGCACCATGTGGGTTTCTCCCTGGCCAGCCTGGGAGAAACTTGTGCTGCAGAGGCTGTGGATGCTTCATAGTGTGGTGCTTAACCCCTTGAGCCACCAGGGAGGCCCTGTTGTGCCTTTTGGCATAATGAAAAATGATAATGTGAGGGACAAAAACCAAAAAAACCCTAAGGAGATTAAGCCTTCCCTACCTTGCTTCCCAAAGACTGAATCTTCAGCACAGAAAATGGTCCATGCCAGGGAAAGGGTCTGGGTACTGCATCTTGTGTTCTGAGTGTGCATGTGCATGCATGTGCCAGCTCTGAGAATGGATCTCTGTCTGGTGTTTGGGGTAGGCAAACAGAGAACATGATAGTTTTGGCAGATTACTAAAGAGGAGTTGGGAATAAGTGAGGTGTGAGGGGGGGGGAACCCTAGGGGTGCAAACTCAGCAACTTTCTGCACTTGTCAGTGTCTAGCAGCCAGTGTCTACTGACTGGTGATGGGGATTGTAACTGAGCCGTAGCCCAAAGGATACCATGACACTTGGCTTACTATCCCATTCCATATCAGAGAGGAGGAAATGGAGATTGGGGACCAGGCAGATGTGAGTGTCTGCAGGCTGGTGTGAAGGGGGTGGTTGTGGCTGTGGTAGGGAACTGGGGTCCGGGTGTGGTTGTGTGATGTGTGTGGGAGCAGAGCAGTTTGGCCTCCACAATTTCAGGGTTCAAAACTCCTCTGCCATTCCTAACAGGGTGACAGTCATTTTGTGTGTCTGTGCCTCAGCTTTTGGCCATCTAAAACAAGATAATGAACAGTTCCACTATAAGGGTTGCTGGGACAATGAAATGGGAAGTTAACACACAATGTGGGTGCTGCCATCATATTGTGCCCAATTTCCAGCTGGGAAAACTGGGGCATAGGGGGACACCTCTTGTTTGAGGCTGCATACATGAGGAAGGGCCAAGTGGGAGCCAAAATCTGTGATATCAGAGCCAAGTTGACCACCCACCCCCTCCCTGCTCAGGTCGCTCCTCCTTCTCCTGCTGGTGCCAGGCTGAGCTCAGAGGGGCTGGCCTGCAGCCCAGAGGCAGGCTGTTGCTGGGGGCTTGAATGGGGTGCCCTTGCCTGGGAATTTGCTGGGCTCAAAGAGCTATTTATAGGCCAGTGCTGGGATTGGGCTTGCAGCCCCTAGCCTTGAGTGCCTTCTCTGTCCCCCATGCTGGGGCCCAGGCCAGGGGCTGCTGCCAGTTGGGGGAGAGGGCTGGTGGGCCAGATCAGAGACATGGAGGATGGGCCTCCTGGAGAGCTAGGTCTTAGAGACAGATGTTGTCCCCAAAGTGCCTCTCAACATACCTAGGGTGATGCGTGGGCATGTCACATGCAACCATGTTCACATCTGTCATACACCATGTGGGTTTATGTTACCAGTACCACTCATACCCAGTTACAGTGACAGCAGACAGCACAGGTATCTCAGGTACAACCACGCCCAGTTAGTTACACAGGCCATGTATAAGTCATACAGATCATACATATTACACAGGTAACATACAAGTTACACAATGCCAAACAAACTCCCTGGCACACACAATCTCACCTGACTATACAAGTCACAAATGCCACAAATAGATACACCTGCCACACACAGACTCAAGTAGTAACACACAACTATACCTGGTCATACACAAGTCATGCCTACTGCTGCATAACTAAACTCATTTGTGAGTGTGGCAGGTCCTAGATTTCCTTCACACTCAAACACACCCACTGTTCAAAGCCACCACACCTTAGCTTTCCTGACATTTGCCCTACATTGTTCATACCCAACCACCTTACAGCTGTGGGCACAACTACCGATACTGTGTCCCTAGTATTGGGTGTACAGGCCCCCCAAGGCCATGCTCACAGCACAGCCACTCACACTCACCATTAAACACACTCAGTCTCAGCCCAGGAGTTCCCACTGTGCAAATTTACCTCAGTTACTCCATCCTATGTCATCCCCTCCCACTGTCACTGTCACCTCTTACCAGACTCCTAGTCTTATACCCCGCTAGATGGACAAATGCATCTGGCAGTGAGTGAATGCTTGTCCACTCTCGAGTTGGGCTTTGTGGGACCTGGGCAGATCCCAGGCAGACCCTAGGCAGACAAATCACACCCAGTCTTGTCTCACAGTAGATTGAACCTCATTATACTCACCCCCAAGACCCTCCAGGCTGGGGCCTTGGAGCAACCATCACACTTGTTCCCCATGAGGAAAATGAGGTTGGAAGGTAGAAAGAGCCTTTCCCTGCAGAGTTATAGGCAATAGGCTCAGCCATGAGAGGGGCTGCCTCCCCAGAGAGTCACCCTCTACCTAATCCATACTTACTATGTAACTTCAGCAAATAGCTGTCCCTCTTAGAGCTTTCATTTCCTTTCCTGAAAAATGCAAAACAGCCCAATGGAGGGAACTCTGGAGTCAGATTCGAGTCAGATTTGAGGTCCTGGCCTCCCCAGGAGCCAGGAGACCATGGTCAAATGACTGCCTCAGTTGCTGTGCCTCAGTTTCCCTCAGCGACCCGGAGGAAAGTCTCCTGGCTCTTCTAGAGCTCCACCTATCCCATGCCCTGGGGTTTGTGGGGAGGCAGTGCTTAGTCTTCTCTTCACTCAGGGGAATGAATGGACCACTTTTGGCTGCCCTGCTGGGATTTGCTAATTCCCTGGAGAAACAGGAGGCTCTTTCATGCCCAGGCGCCAGTGGGGTGAGGAGGCGGGAAGAAGGTACTGAGCTGGCCTTATCCCAGTGGGCAAGGCGGCTCCATGCCAAGAACAGGAGTTATGTTAAGGGCCCTAAGGCCATGTGTATCCTTGCTGAGGAAACTTGCCTGTGTCCACAATTATAAAATGGGGTGACATGGAACAGCAATAGCAGGTTTCCCCAGTCAATGGGTGGAGATAAGATGAGGCTTCAAGTCAGATACAAATGTCAGTCCCTGTTATGTGTCGCCCTGCTGAATTCTTCAGCAGTCCTATAAGTAGAATGACCCCCATTTCACATATAAGGAAACCAAGGCTCAAAGAGGTCAAGGTGTTTGTACCAGGTCACATGGCCAATGAGTAGCCCAGCCAGGAATTGAAGTGGATCTGGGCCCTCAGGATTCATGCTTTTCCTCCCTTCTTCTCAGGGTAGGGAGGTATTTCCTGCCAACCCAACCCTGAGACCAGCAGAGTCGGTCTGCATGGCACCAAACCCTGATTGAATACAGGAAATCCTGGCAAGCAGAGATTGATAAAGAGACCCTTCCGGGGGTGTCCCAGTTTCCAAGCCAACCCCCCTCCGAGAGTGGGCTTGGCCAGACGCTCAGAGGATGCTGGAGGACCATTCCCCCAATCCTTGAAAGGACTGGATCCCAGGCCTTTCAGCCAAAGCCAGGAGCTGCAGCCCTGCCAGTGGCAGCTCTCCCTGGGAACCCTTCATTCATGCAGATCAGATGGGGTTCCACCCTTCCTCAATCACCTCCTGAGACTGCTCCAGGCCCAGAAGGAACTGGCAGGCTCCATATATTTTATTCAAATTCATGGTTTTTCAGTAAGCGAGGCCCTTGCTTATACTGTACTCCCTGCCTGGAACTCCCTCGTGCCCTTACCCCCAGATTTTCTCACCCTGGTGAATTCCTGCCCATCCATTAAGGAGCAGGCACAATATCCCTTCTCCCAGGAAGCCCTCTACCAGGTTGAGCTCCTGTTCCCCAGACCAATATCTCTCTCTTGACCTCAGTCCTGGCTCCCCGGGACTGGAAGTACACATCTAGCTCCGCCTTGCTCGGATTGGAGCTTCCTCAGGTATGTCATGGTACCTGAGGCTTCTTGCTGTCCCCAGCATCACTCAGCATTGGGCTGGAAAGTAGGGGATAGGAGTTGTGTAGTGAATCACTGAAAGAAATCTTTAGTCTAGTATCTGAGGCTCTGTGTAATCTGATTTGGCAAACTCCTATTCATCCTTCAAAACTCACCTCACATACCCCCTCCTCCAAGAAGCTTTCCTTGATGTGGGAGACAGCAATTTAGTGGGAAGACAGTTTTTAGAGATTCACTGTACTGAAAACTTCATGGTTTCTCCCTCAGTTCTTCCTTTGGCCTCTGGGAGGCAGTGAGGTGCAGGGGCTCGGGCTGAGTTAGCAGTTACGAGAATTGATTCCAGCGATTTCTCCAAGTAGGAAGACATCATTACAGGAAGGCCTAGGGACTCCAAAACCAGTGCTCTATAGCCGCGGGCACCAAAGGACAGCGTCGGCTAGCAGCCGGCACGCAATCGCTCTAGGTACTAGCCTTCTCCAGCTCCAGGGCAAAAGCCACCACTGACGTGGCTCTTTAAGAGGAGGGGGCGGGGGGCGGGGCTCAAATCAGAGCCCGTCCCGTGATCGAGGCTGGGCGGGCCCGAGTCGCACTGCGCCTGCTCGGACTCCTGCGTTTCCGGGTCTGGGCTTTGGTGCCGGGAGCTGTTTGCTGAGAAAGTGAGCCTCGGAGAGCGCGCGGGTGTCCCTAAAATCCCGAGGTACCGTTTCCCTTTCTTGGACATGCTGTGAAAGGCCTGGCCGCTGTCACTGGCAGTTTTCCCGACACTCGCAGTCCCTCCCCAGGTTAACGCCCTCTTGTTCCGAGTTACGGGTGAGGACGTGCGGACCCACGTGTGGACAAGGGTGAGCCGCTGTGGCCGCGGGGGCGCTGGGATTTGAACCTGGGCTAAGCCCAGCTCTGCGCTCTGCGAGACCCTGTGAGCCGATATGACCCACTCTTTGGTTTGCTCAGAGACCATAAGCAGGTGAGAACTTGGAGGGTGTGGGCGGTGGTGGGCAAAGCCCTCGGCCTGGGGTGGTACAGAGGTGGACGGAGCTGCGGGTGAGCAGAGCTGCGGTCGGGAAGCCGCTGTTGCGGAGGGGGCGGGCACGTGGTGCGCTCAGTCTCTCTGCTCGCCCTGATTTTGGTGGCTCCAGGGTGAGTTCGGTCCTGAATCGCAACACCCGGCAGTTTGGAAAGAAGCACTTATTCGACCAAGATGAGGAGACGTGCTGGAACTCAGATCAGGTGGGGCACTTCCCTGGACTATCTACCCACCGCCAAGGGTGCTCCTGCCAGCTGGGATCTCCAGGGAGGTATTTCGGTTACCTTCCCAATCAAGGGCATAGCAGGACTCTGAGCTTGCAGTGAGCCTGGGCCTCAGTTTCCCTGTCTACTTCCAGGGCCCCATCCAGTGGGTGTTACTAGAGTTTCCCCAGCGCATCCGTGTCTCCCAGCTGCAGATCCAGTTCCAGGGGGGCTTCTCCAGTCGCCGGGGACGCCTGGAAGGTACTAGAAGAGCCTGGAAGGTAGGGGCTGGGAGGTGCCCTGGCCTCACAGTATAGCCCTTTCTTCATACTGCAGGTTCCCAGGGGAGTGAAGCCCTTGGCAAGATTGTGGAGTTCTACCCAGAAGACAACAACTCGCTTCAGATATCTTGTGTGGGCCTCTGGGGTGAGGGTGAGGGGGTGGTCTGTGGTGCTGAAAGCTGTTGGCCTGGTTGAACAAGTCCTGGCACATGACTTTGATCTGTGGCCAGTAGGCCTCCATTGTTTTATCTGTATAGCAGGTTGGTGATAACCTGTTCTGTGTGAAAGTCTCAGAAGGGCCCAAAACCCGCCGGTTACCCAGCACACTGCGGGTGTTGAAGGGGGGCTGGGTGGGGCTGCAGGTAGGAAATACTGTGCCACCTCTTTGCCTTGACTGCCCGTGCTAACACCTTTCCTGTGCCGGCTGCGGAGGTGGACCAGCTGAAGGTGACATTTGAGGATGCCACGGACTTTTTTGGCCGGGTGGTTATCTACCACCTGCGGGTGTTGGGGGAGAAGAAGGAATGAGGTTACTGGACAGCCACCTCTTCCAGGAAGCACAGCAAAGTCCCTCAAGTTCTGCACAGAAGGTTTATTGGTTCCTCTTGGGAAAGGCCCCTTCCCACCGTCTGTCCAAGAGCTGAGCTGCCTTTGAAGCCTGTGCTGGATCCCCCCAACTCTGGGTTGACCTTTTGCTTTGCTCCCTGAGTGTCTGAGTCCCAGTGGGTAGCCTTCACTCAGGGTCGGCGGGCACCAGGTTGCTCTGGAAGAGTTTGAGGATGTGGCTCTCGATCACCTGTTGCACTGGACACAGGACAGGCGGGAATGACTGAGTAGCAACTGAGGAGGGTGTGTGCGAGGGGTGCTGTAATATCTTGCCTTCCCTGAGAACTGCATCCTCCCCTCAGGGATAAATAGGGGTCTGCATCCTATGACTTGGACATGTGGAGAAATCCATGCTCCTCCCCAGGAGATGGAAGATGGAGGCTGCCACCCCAGGACCTCAGTGGAGGTTGGAGGCTGCCACCCCAGGACCTACGTTCATAAAAGTGAAGTTTTGGAGGCTTTATAAAAATATTCCTTGCCAAACAAAATTGGTGAATTATGACAAGAAGGGTTGTGGCAAATGACTTCTATTCCAAAGGGGGTAAACTCAAAGAAGGAACTGGAGATATCCCAATCCCCCAATTTCCCTGTGACACTAGGAGGTCTGTCTTGTTAGAATCTCCCCATTTTATGGATAGGGGAGCTGAAGGGGGAAGTGGGGTGTCAAACTAGGGTCAGCCGCTGCCCTTGCTCACACCTCCCTCCAGGAGAAGGTTGGCTCCATGACCCCTACATTGTGGTGTTCCCACCCAGCTAGACCTCTGTATGTGCTGGTCATCTTTCTTGGACACTGTCCTCCCTCACCCCAGGGAGCCCTCCCTGACCCCCACCCATCTCAGTGCCTATGTGTCCCTAAAACTGACACATGACGGCCTTCCACCCCCAGTACACAAGGAACCCCAAAACCAGAGCTAGGACATCCCCAAGCCAGGTGCACAGTGGCACTTGATGTTTGCTAACACAAATGCTCACTGCCAGGATCTGATATCTAAGGGGGTGTCCTGTGTTCCCTGTGGTTGCCCTGTCACTGCCCCTTGTGTCTCAAGCCAACCTTTCCGATATCCCAGAGCCACAGCCAGGTCCATAGGGGTGTAGCCAGAATCGGCCTCGGTAGTGAGATCAGCTCCTCGGGCTGCAAAACAGAGCAGGCACTCAATGCGGCTGGGCCCGGGAGCCAGAGGCCAGAGTCGGATGTGAGGACTTGGGAGGATTAGTAACCACCCCGCAACACAGCCATTGGTCTGCTGGTTGCCAATATGCCTGTGGATGAGAGATGAACTTGCAGATGATGTGTCAATAGAATCCCCATCCCCAGGGCTCCTGAGGCACAGAGTGTGTGGATGCTTGGCCAGGTGGCCAGATGCCCATTATGTTCTTCCCAAGTCAATCCTCTGATAAAAGCAGGTGGTGTTCACCCTTCCAAGAACTGTCAAGAGCTCAGACCCCTCTCCCGGACCCTCAGGAATCCCAAAGGGTCAGTCTACTTCCACTCACCCAGTAAGGCCTCCACACACTTCACATGGTTGCCACGCACGGCGTACAGCAACGGCGTCCCTCCATTCTGAGGATAGGGGTGGGGGAACCAATACTCTATTACAATATTTTCCTGACTTGTACAATAGCCGTACCGTCCAGTTGAATGTAGTTCCTCCTACTCATCATCTGACCTGTCTAGCTCCTTTATGTCTCAGCTTAAATGCATGCCCCTTCTTCCAGAAAGACACCTTCTCTGGCTATGTGAGCCACCTCTGGGCTCCTGCAGTTGCCTATGTGCCTGCCATTACAGCGTTGCTCACCAGAGTTCAGTTTTCTATTTGTGTCTGCCCCATGCCCCAAACAATTGGGAGGCTTAAGGGTGGGTCTATTTTATATCCTCAGCACTGAGCTGGTGGCGGCACCTCACCCAGTCGTAGATGTTGATGTCTACATCACGTTCCAGCAGCAACCCCACAATGTCCGTGTAGCCGCCCATGCTGGCCAGTGACAGGGCGCTCTCCCGCTCCTTGGCCAGGATGTGGGGGTCGGCACCCTAGGGGGCGACACAGGAGCAGTGACTGAAGGGAGGCAGAGGGAGCACTAATAGGTGGAATGGGGCTGTCCCTGGAATCTCAGAGTCCCTGTGGCAGCCCCACCTTACACATGAGACACCAGCAGACTCGGAGGAGCCCAACCCACCCTCCATTCCCAGAGACACCCCAGCCAGACCGGACGCACCCACTCAAGCAGGAAACGGACGGTCTCGATCTCTCCAAAGGCAGAGGCCCAGATGAGGGGGGTGAAGCCTCGCTCGTCTGGCTTGTTGATGAGGTTGTCGCCTGGCAGGAGTGGGGGGGTGTTCCACTGGGCTGCACCCCGCCCACTCTCCCCAGTGCTGTGGGAGTGGAATGGGGTAGGTGTGGGGGGGGGGTCAAACATGGGGAGAACACATACCTGAATGCACACCCATGGTCACCCTCACAGACATGTGTAGAGATAGGCACATGGACACACATGGGCACTCGTGGGTCATGTCAGCACTCGCACATACTAATACTTGGGATTGGACATGCCAGTGCAAGAGTGTGGACAATCACCTTTCCTCAGGTGCTCCTTCAGCTGGCTCAGTTCCCCCTGGGCAGCAAGCTGGTGAATGGATAGGGCTGCAGACCAGAGAGATGAAGAGTCCTCACTCCTGGTGTCCCAGTATACCCCTAGTCCAAAGTTGATCCTCTCAGCCCTTGCCACCACGCTATCTGACTTCCCTCTGGGACCAAGGATTCACTCACAGTCCAGGGTGGCTGGTAGGGCTGAGACCTCGTTCCCCCGTTGCCGGTTGGTGAGGGTTGTGGAGTGTTTCAGAGAGCTGCTGGCTGGGAGACAAGAGAAGAGCCTCAATTTCCCCATGGCAGATCTCTGGGGCTTCAGGCCAAACCTGGGGGCTTAGAACTTCCAAGAAAAGTGCCCACCATCTACTCACTCTACTTTCCCAGATATCAGGATATGCTTTTAAGGGACCTGTGAACAAGTAGGGGTGTCAGAGAGAAAAAAGGAAATAGAATGAAAGCCCACTTTGAAAAAAAGTTTTCAGAAGTAATTAAGAGCAGGTAGAAAAGTTGAAAAGAAGGAGGGCAGTGGTGAGTCTGTTTTAGACAAAGTGGTCAGGAAGGGCTGCTTTGAGGAGGTGTTACCAACTCAGCCCTGAGAAGAGATCTTGGAAGTGCATTCCACACACAGGAAGGAACCAGCAGAGATAAAATCTCTGGGAACTGAATTAGACATGTTCAAGGACTCTGGTCACAAGAAATCCTCAGGTTCTCAATGTTAAAGTCTACCATCTGACCCAACAATCACACTCCTAGGAATCTACTCTAAATTGCTGAAATCAGACAAAATCTTATACACAAGTGCTCACAGTGGCACTGGACACAATTACCAAAAGGGAACAAGCCACCTTCCCATCAATGGATGAAGGATGAAGGAAATATGGTTCATTCACATAGTGAAGTATCACACAGACATAAAGAGGAGTGAAATCCTGATACGAGCTACAATGTGGATGAACTGCAAACACGATGCTGAATGAAAGACCAGGCACAAAGGTCACATAGAGTGTGATCCATTTACATGAATGTCTGAAACTGGAAAATCCACAGACAGAAACAGATGAGTTGTCAGGGACTGGAGAATGAGTGAGAGTGACTGCTAATGTGCACAGCACAGGGTCTCCTCTTGAGGTGTTGAAGATGGTCTAGAATTATAGATAGATGTGATGGCTGAGACATGGTGAACATATTCACTGCGCTGAATCATACATAACTCTGGTTACAATGAAAATTGTTATGTGGACTTTACAGACAAAAAAGCAATCCATCTCAGGTCTGACATTCCACTTTCCAAGCATCCCAGAGGCCAAAGCTCAGAGGCCCAGGCGAAGTATCCTACCCTGAGGTGAGGAGGTGACAGCATCTGGTTCAGGAATTCCAGGTTCTGGGGTGCAGGGGAAGAGACTGAGGACCACAGTGTCTGAACTATCAGGGGCCTCATCCCCAGGGTCTTCAGGGTCCCCAAGTTCTGGGGCAAGGGGCTGTTGGGTCAGACTGAGATCCTCTGCAGGCTGGATGGACTCCATGTGGGAAGCTGGTGGTAGTGCCAAAAGAGGAGAGACAGCAATAAATATCAACAGCTCTTACTAAGTTGGCACTGGCTACACATGGTTAGCACAATCAGGGTAGGTAAATCACTAAGTGGAGAAATTAAAACTCGAATCCAAGTGCTTTTCACGCTCACTCATGCCCACCACCAGACACACACAGACAACATGCACTGCTGAAAAACCCAGGCACTGGGGTTAGTGTTTGTTCTAATCGCTCCACACACTGGATGTGAGAACTTGGCACACAATTTAACCTCTCTGAGCTTGTTTACTCACTAATAAAACGGGGAAATGAAACCTAAAAGAAATCATGTCTGTAAATAGCTGAGCAAGATGCCTGATACATGGTCATAGCTTAACAATTGTGATTATTTGCTTATTTTGGGGACAGTGAGGCTCAGCAAAGGTGTGATGCGCTCTATCCCACCCGTCCCCCCCAAACTGATTCCGGGGATCCACTCACGTCCCACGAGTCTCCTCTGTCAACCCGCGTCGCAAGCCGGGGTCCCCCAAAACTTGGGGACCCAATTCACAAACTTTTCTCCTCCAATTGATGTAAGGGGCAGCAAACTGGAACCTGGACCCTCAGCGTCCTAGCTTCTTCTGCCGGGACAGAGAGCAAGTTGATAGGAAATCGCTACCCCCACCAGCAGCTCCCCCACTGCGCCTGCGCACCCCCGCCCCCCAAAAGTGCGGAAGGCCCCATGCCGTAAGAGCTGCTTCTGGCCCTTTAAGTCTTGGGGGAGGGGCGTGGCTACCGCTGGGGCCCAAGCAGCGCAGTCTAGCCGGTGAGTTCTAGTCCCCTCAGGACCTAGAGGGGTGGGCGGGGCCTAGGAGAACGCTGAGGAAGTCTGTGCCCCCGCTTACCAGCCCCAGCTCCGCCCATAGATTTTTCCAGAGAGAGCCTATCGGCTCCAGCTTCGAATGGGTAGGCGGGGCTTCCCCTGTCCTGGGGCTGTGGGGGGAGAGGGTGGGGGGGTGAGTCCGGGATTTAAAGAGGCAGCACCATCCAACGCCATAGGATGTCCCCTCCGCTTTTGGAACTCATAGGCAGTGATTTCGTGACAGTAGGGCCGGTTTACAAGGAGGGCCTCTATGTGGAGCGTTCCCTCAATTCGTCTGCCCCCGAAAAAACGGTTTCGGGAAGGGAGGGCGCCCTTGCTTCTCCCCAGCCTAGATGTCCCTGCTGGAGCTTCAAAGGTGTGCCCCTCCTCACCGCCTCTCGAGTGACACCTTCCCACGCCTCTCATGACTCCTCTCTTGTCCGGGGCGACCAAGGAGTGGGGAAGACAGGCTGAACCGCACTGGAACTGGGGCGCGTGGCGTCGGGTTTCACAGGGGAAGGTTTAGCAGGACGTCCCCGCGCCACAGTTTCAGTTCCGGTCCTCAGGTTCCCCGGCCGCGGTCGCCATGGAGGAGCCGGAGATGCAACTCAAGGGAAAGAAAGGTGGTGCGGGGCCCCGGGCGGGCGGGGGCGACCTGATCGGGGGGCGTCCTGAACGTCTGGGACATAGCAGTCTGCTGTTGTTGCCGTATATGTATATATACACGTGTGTGTGTTTACATTGACTTATCAAATATATGTAAATCACAACTGCAAATTACAAACTGCCGCAAACTACTTTAAAATCATAAATGTTTTTGTCATTTCAGCAAACACACTATTTCTAGCTAAATATGTAGAAGAAACAAGTACAGTTAATTCCCTCTCCGTAACATTCCCGGGATGTGTAAGCTATACTATGCTCATTTTCAAAACAAACTAGGAAATCTAGGAGGGTAAGAGGACACAGGTTTGGAGGTGGCAGGCTGAGCCTTGCCCTACTCAGGACACAGCAGTAAGCTGGAGGAACTCACTCTACACACTCTCCCTTGAATCTCATATACACTTGGATTCTCTCCCTGGCCAGCCACACTGCCCTGGCAATAGCATAAGGTCTGCCTCGGTAGCAAACCTCAAGGTGGATGAAGTTACTTCATTTTCACAGATGAGGAAATGAGGCTTAGAGAAACCCCTGTACTCATAAATCCAAGCTTAACTTTTTTTCTGTAAACTTGTAATCTTGATGTAACCTAATAAAGAACGACAATTTAAGGGTAAAAGAGATGACCAAGGTGCTGAGCTTGAGAGTGAGATGGAAGGAACACTTGATTGAACTTGGTGATCTGAAATGTCTCATCCTGAAAGTGACATTTGAGCAGAGGCATGAGAGAGCCTGTGGGGGAAAAGGCATGTTCAGTGGTAGGAATAGGTGCAAAGGCAAAGTATTCAGAGCAATGCTGCAATACAATAGCTTCTGGCTACAGGGTTTATGGGCAATTTAAGCTAACTAAAATTAGGGAAAAGTAGCACTTCTGACTCTGAGTTATATGAGCACATTTAAAGTGCTCAGTAGCCTTATGTAGCTGCCACATCAGATACTATAGAGTATAGAACCTTTCCATTATCTCATAAAGTCCCTTTGAATAGCGTTGGGAGTATCCAAGGTACAGCCAGAAAGCCATTGTGCCTGCGAAAGAGGGCAAGATTTGGGGGCTTGGGGAGCGGAGAGCAGTCAACAGCAGGTAGAATATACAGTGAGGTCTTGTGGGCAATGGTAAGGAAGATGATATTTCCTGACAGGAGGCTTTAGAGTATTTCAAGAAAAGACATATCTGATGTGTTCATGAGGAGGTCACTCTATCTGTTGAGTAGGGATCAAACTATTGGCAGTATGAGTCGAGGAGCTAATTCTGGTATCCAGATGGGAGATGGCTATGCCTGGACCAATTGGTAGTGAGAATGAATGACATTGGGGCTTTGTTTTGAGACAGAACCAGCAAGATCTGCTTGTATTTCAGGTAGGAAGGGTGGGGATGACTGGTCCACTGGGAATACCTTGTTGAAAACAATCAAGTATGAGGATTTCTGTGTGATTAACTTACCTGGGGGTACAGTACTGTGCTTGGGACAGGGAATTTAGGGGGGACAAACACACTTCCAAGTTGTCTGTTCACACAGAGCAGGCACAGTCTTTTATACCTTTTGATGATCAGTCATGGCTGTGGAAGTTCTATGCATTTTGGGTCTAGTAGCTAGTGGCGATCCTCCAAAGAAAAATCTCAGATGTGATCATTGGGATAAAAGGAAGAAAGGAATCCCAGTGGACAATATGTGGGCCGTGAGTGAACTTGTGAAAAGAAGATCAGGAGTTTACTGAAAGAGTTAATGACATCTCCATTAAGGCACTTATGTAACTCCCACATGGACTTGTTTCATCCTGCTTTGATCATCTCCTTCAGCCTATCACTGGGGCCTCAGGTCACCCAGCTGCTGGGAAGCACTGGATATTCCTCTTGGCTCTGACTGAACTAGATTGAGCAGTCATGAGTCTGATGCTTCTTCCCTCTGTTCCCCCGCCCCCCGCCCCAAGTCACAGACAAGTTCACGGAGAGCGTCTATGTCCTGGCCAATGAGCCGTCCGTGGCCCTGTACCGACTGCAGGAGCATGTGCGCCGCTCTTTGCCTGAGCTGGCCCAGCATAAGGTGAGCCCTGCCCACCCCAGGGTCAATACCGCCTGAGCAGGGAACCTGCTGTATAGAGCAAGGGCAGTGGGAGCAGGAGTCAAGGCTGGGACACCAGTGAGAAGGCGGTGGTTGCTAAGCCAGGTTGGACCTTGAGTGGACAGATCTGGGACAGGTTTTCAGGGTGGAGCAGTGGGATCTGCATTAATTGTGTTTTTTCTTTTTCACTTTTTTTTTTTTTGTGCTATTTGCAGTATCATACATGATCATCAAACTGCTGTTAGAATCTTCATACCTTTTACTGCAAATTCAAAACCTAGGACAAACTCCTGGGAATTTACTTTAGGCCAAGATGGGGCTGCCTGGTATAGGGCTGCACCCACCGCAGGGCAGTTTCAACAACACAGGAGCCCTTTCCCCAGACCACAGGATCTGCATTAATTGTGTCCTGTATGTAAGAAGGGTACAGTGTATGAGAACCCAAGGGAAGCCCATGCCAAGCAGAGGGAACAGCTTGTGCAAAAGTCCTGAGGCATGGCAGCTAGGTGTCCAAGAGAGACTAGACTGTGGCCATGGTGACTGGTTATTGAGTGCTTCCTCTCAGAGAGCTGAGGGGACTTCTCTCCAAGTGATTGTCCCCCTCCTAACAGTCCCCTCTCCCCACAGGCAGACATGCAGCGATGGGAGGAGCAGAGCCAGGGAGCTATCTACACTGTGGAGTATGCTTGCAGGTAAGCACTTCAGCCTTCCTCTGCTGGAGTTACCCACTCTGCCCCAGGGCCAGGCCTGTAGTGCCTCAGTCTCCTGGGTATTCGGGGTGATCTCAGCCAGCTACCCAGTCAACCCTATCTGCTGAACCCCCCTGAAGCATTTTAGCTCAACTTGCCTGGTACAAGCACACCGGCTCTAGCCCAGGCCTGTGTTTCTCCCCATTTGCTTGACACCTGAGTTCTTTGTGCTGAGCCCCTCCACATCTGTGACAGGAGGCGGTGATAAGGATCCAGGAGATATTGCCCTGGTAGGGAACCAGTGTTTGCTCCATACCAGTGGCATGTGGTTGATAGGGTGGATGGCAACTGGAAGGAGGGTGAAAGCTTGAATGATTACTTTATACTTTTTATTTCCTTCCAGGTTTATTTATTTTTTTTTTTTTTTGTAGTGGTGGTGGCAAAATACACATAATAAAAAGTTTACCCTTTCAAACATTTCTTTTTTTTTTTTTAAGCTTTATTTTTTTTAATTTATTTATACAACCACTGGGTACAGTCAGAAGCGCGGGAGGGCTAGAGAATTCACCAGAGCCAGAGCGGGGAGCAGAGCAGGCAGAAGGATCGAAGTACACTGCTGAGGGGAGCAGCGGGCGGCAGGAGAGGTCTGCGCGCCATGCGGGACCCTCCTCCGGTGGCCAGGGAGCAGCCAGGGATTGAACTGGCGCCTCTGCGGGCAGCTTCGCAACCCAGCGTTCAACCACTGCGCCACCGGGGAGGCCCCTTTCAAACATTTCTAAGTGCACAGCTGTGTGGCGTTAAGCACGTTCACATGGTTGTGCAGCCATCACCTCCCTCCATCTCCAGAACGTTCTCATCTTCCCAAACTAAAACTTTGTCCCCATTAAATACTCCCCCACTCTGGCAACCACTACCCTAGAGACTTCATAAGTGGAATCACACAGTATTTGTCCTTTTGGTTCTGGCTTATTATGTCAGGTTCATCCATATTGCAGTGTACATCAGAATTTCTTTTTTTTAAGACTGATTAGTATTCTGCTGTGTGGCTACGCTGCATTTTGTGTATCCACTCATCTGTTGATGGACACAGGTTGCTTCTGTATTTTAGCTATTGTTAGTCATGCTGTGAACATGGGAGTGACTTTTTAAATTTTAACTTTCTCTAAATCTCCATATTTTGTACCCCCAAGGAAAGGTGTCTCTCAGAGTGAAAAGTGTTGGTTGGTGTTTCCTTCCATTTTTGCAGCTTTTTAGACCTGACTTTCTGTTCTGCTATTGGTTCCCATGACTGTATTTAATTCCCTGATCTGTTCAGTATGTGTTGGGAGCTTGACTTTATTTAGAAGTACTGTTTGCCACTGACTCAAATTGAGTTATTTGGTGGAGGCTAGACCCTCCACTGCTGTTCTTGTCTGTGGCATTGTAGGTTTGTACACCTCTTGCTGCTTGGTTGTCTGAAAAGTTCCTAGACAGGTAGTCCTGCTGCTGGGGATATAACTGAGTTTTCCTCCATCGGCAGCTAACACTGACAACACTGACATTGGCAGTTACAGACACCATTAGCTCAAGGAAGAGAAGAAAAGAAATGTAGTACTCCTTCTTTATCCAGTTACTATGGTCAATTGTGGTCCCAAAATATTGTATACAATAAGAGAAAGAACCCATATTCATACATATTCACATATTTTCATTATAGTGTCTTGTTATAATTCTATTTTGTTATTAATTATTGTTGATAATATTGCTGTCTCTTACTCTGCCTCATTTGTAAATTAAACTTTACCATATGTATGTATGTATTTCTAGGAAAACATAGTCTATATGTGTGTATGTATGTAGGTTTTGGGAGTAAGTGAGGTTGGGAAGGGGGGGATTGTTGTAGGAGTTTCTCACAGTTGCTGAACAGCTCTCAGACAGCCATGAGCTCATCAGCAAGACCCAGGTTCCAAGAAAAACATGTCAAAGTCCAAGTTTTCTCCTGCTTTCTCTACCTGTACCATCAGTGCAGGAGCCAGGACTGCACATTTACATTTTAATGCATTCACATTTAATGAAATGAAATGGAAGATTTAGCTCCTTAGTCCCTCCAGCCACATTTCAAGTGCTTACTCATCATCTCAATAGATAAAGAACACGTCCTTCATGTCCCAGAAAGTTCTACAAGATCTGCTGAACTAGGCAGTTTGCCAGTGTACTCTGTGTTCTGAGCACATCTCTTCAGTGAATTGTGGTTTTCTCTAATACTAAATAACTATGTTTTCCTTTATGGACACAAAGGCACCCTTTAGTTGTTGGAAGTGTGTTATGCAGTATTAATAGTTGCTGTGAAACTGAAAGATATAAACTAGGGTAAACTACTCAATAGTGAGCTTATGCTAGTGAGCCTTTCATCAAGATGGGCAACCAAGCTTTAGAAAATGTGGTGCAATTTGATGCATGAGATGAACAGGTTAACTGTGCAACCAGTGCTATCCCCCTCCATCCCCTGTGATCTTTGGCTGATGACAAATGGGAGTGACTTTGTTGTCTTTAACAAGAGGACTTCAGGATGACACTCTTATTTTCACTGCAGCATCCTTGCACAGGCAGTTTCCCAGCATTAGCAAGACCCCTAGTAGTTGGTGATGTTTCAGGTATTCTTCTGGAGAGGATGTTTTCACTGGATGTACCTCACCACAGTGCCAGTGCCAAGGCTGATTTGCCATGCAGTAGTGTCCCCTGTTTGGGGATAGGTGTCCTGGTTCCTTCTGAACTCACCTCCAGAGATTTCCTGTTGAGTTGATAAGCTTCTTTCAGAGGCAGGATGTTATCAGAGGAGAGCAAGATGTCTTTGGGACCTTTATGCTTGTAAACATTAGTCTAGCAGTAGGGAAGAGAAGTTTTGCCATTGTGTGCTCTGTGGTATGGGTATTAATTAGGTATAGCAGGGAAGCCTAAACTTTCAGCCCAGGATGAGTTCTCAGGAAGGACCATGAAATCTACAAAGTGCCTGCTGAGCACCAGTTGGATAGGAATCCTACAGGCTGCGTAGGGGGTGATGCGGGTGCTGACTGGTCCCTTCTTGATTTCAGTGCAGTGAAGAACCTTGTTGACAGTAGCATCTACTTCCGAAGTGTGGAGGGACTCCTGAAACAGGCCATCAGCATCCGAGACCACATGAACACCACTGCCCAGGGCCACAGGTAGCTTTTGGACTGCCACCCTGCTGCTCTCAGACACCTTGCTGTGAGGACCTTCACCGCTCGGCCAGGAACTACTACTTCTTGCTTGTACAAAACTCCCTTTCCTGTCTCATGGAGTCTGATGACTTCCTCTTATCTTTTGGAATCTATAGCAGGAGAGTTAGTTACTCAGCCCCAGGTCTTAAGCTTTGCTATGTGCTGGTCGTGAGCTGGGTGCTGGGGACACAGCAGTGACTGGGACAGGTGTGCTCGTGGTCTCACGGGGAAGACACAGCAAATAGGTAAACATGGAGACAAGCATTTCAGACCTGCTTCAAAGTAGGAAAGGATGTAGGGGCCTCTGAGGAGGACGCAAAGGTACTCATGAAATGCAGACAAATGACCAGGGATACACAGTGGGGCCGGCTGAGTTGGGTGGACTGGAGGAACATCTAGGAGGTGGGTGACTGGAGCGGGTGAGAAGGGGGAGACAGAGTCAGGGAGGAAGGCTGGGGGCACCGTGGGCGTCATGCTCAATGCTGACCGAGGCTTTACACACAGGACCAGGTGGTATGAAAATGAAAAGGACTTCAGTCCTTGCATGTCAGAAGAGAGTTTTTAGAGAAGTAGCTGATTTTGTTGTTTTCATTATAAAAATAAACACGTATTTGAACACACAACACAGATTGTAATTCTACCTTGAGATGTATCTGACCCCACAGTTGGGTGCCAACTGCCTGTCTCCCAGCCAGGCATTCAGAAAGAAGAACACCTGTTTCTGATAACCAAGATGAGAGTTGCCAAAACCCAAAAAGCCTTGGGGATGTGTGAAAACAGGTGTGTAGTCATCTTCCCTCTGATGGCGGGTGGCAGCACTCTGGACTAGAGTTCACTGTATCCTTGCATGACACCCCACACAGAGTAGGACCTCAAAGAGCCATAGCTTTTACTTTCAACTCCCTTTCCCAAGTGCTATTGAACACCTGCTTGTGCCTGCTGTTGTGAAAACCACTGTGTTTCTCAAAGACATTGGTAGTCAGTTGGGTTGCTCCTTGCCCCTCTCACTGTGAGCCCTGTGGGTGTGAAGGCCCAGCTCAGCATGTCCCAGCCACGACCACTGGTCCCATCTTCATAGTGGATTCCCTGAAGGTTCAGGCCATGGGTTTTGGAGTACCGAAGCATGACTCCAACTCACATTCCAGCCTAGCTGAGCTAGCCTAATGGACTCCTGGCCTTTGATCTTGACTCATGGCCTCTGACTTTGACCTTATGAATGCTGCACATGTTTTGTTCCAGCCCTGAGGACCTACCCTCTCCCTCCTCAGCCTGATCCCAGAAGAGACTTGGAGGTGCTCCAGCCCCTCTGACCAGGTCAGTGCTCAGGGGCCTGTGCTCCATGCTCTGGGCTAACCTGCTCTCTCTATGTCTAAGCAAGGACCTGCTTGTCTAACCAGTAGCTTCTTAAAGGCCCATAAAATGGCTTCATCAGTGGGGGTGTTGCAGGATGGGGATGGGGGGGTTTGTTACCTCTGCTGCTCAGGGTCACTGTCAGCCCACTCCCTTAATGTTCTCTGTCATTTTCCTGTTCCTTATCCATGCCACAGGCCCAATCCCAAGGACCATAGCCCCAGGACAGAGAGGGAAGCCCACCCTACCACGTGTTAGCTGCTTGCTTGATCCACACACGTGCTCTCACGGCTCTCACATGGGCCTGGAATGGCAGTCACCCACCCAGTTCTGGACCCTCGCTCCACCACCGACTTCACCACCGTTGACTTCCTACGTGACCCTGAGCCAGTCCCTCTCCCTTTCTGGTCTTTGCTTTAAGACACACTGGCTCATCAGGCAGCAGAGTATGTGGTAGTGGTTGATTGTGGTGGTATAACAAATGATTCCCAAACCTAGTGGTCACAGCACCAGTCATTTATTCACAGTTAGTTCTGTGATTTAAGCCAGGTCACCTGGTAGCCTCTTACCCAGCACTTCTCAGAGGCAATGTTTGGGTAGTGACCTCATGCATTAGGCCCTTGACAGTGCTGTTGGCTGTGGGGGTCTGGATCTCCTCCACATGGCTATAGAGCAGGCCTACCAATCTTCTGGAAGCTGGGCCCTCATGTTCATCCAACCCATTAGCCTAGGACCACTGGTCAGGACCAGTCACATGGCCAGGCCCAGTTAGGGGTGTGGATGCCCATTCCACACAGGAATGTGGCTGGCCTTGTGGGGAAAGCATGGCACCAAGAACAGCTGGTGGGACATTATTCTGTGCATGCAGGTGGATGTTGTCTGATGGCAATGCGGAGAGACTGTGAACCCCAGCTGTGCAGCTCCTGGAGCCCAGCCTGTGCTTTGTTCCCTGTCAGGGGTCAGGAGAATGATGGAGACAGGCCCCCAGACCCTAGAGAAGCAGCTCCAAGAGGCAGCTGAGTTCACACATACAGTCAGGGGCGCCTGCCTTGTATCAAGCTAAGCTGTGGGCCTGGGGGCAATGAGTAATCCCACAGACCGGGGACCTGGGGTCTGGAGCAGGGGGTCTGCCTGCCAGCCCGCCTAGTGCCTCACAGCAGTGCCTGCCTACCCTGAACCACACCGCACCATCTCTTTGTCCCATCCCTTGCACCTTGGTCTCCCCTCACCCCTTGAGCCTCAAGGATGCTGCCCTGCCCACAAGTCTGTCATCTGCTGTTCTTCTTCCTGACCTCCATCTGATCCTTCCCAGAATCGATACCCTCAGTTCACCATTCCTCCCCACTCTGCCCCCCACTGGGGTTATTGGTGACCCTCATGAGGTCAAGTCCTCTGCCCTCACCTGCCTCTTAAGTCCTAAGACCCACAACAGCCCATTTTACAAAAGAGGAAACTGAGGCTCAGAGAATCAGGGTTGCCTTTTGCCCCCACCTCCCACCTGACCCTTAGACAGTCTTGTAGGACCTGGCTGGGACTGAAGGTCAAGCAAGTGTGGCCAGCATTTCTCTCCTGCTCCTGCCTGGAACGTCAGACCAGCTGTGAATATCTTAAGACCAGGCTTTGCTGCCTTGTCTTTCCCACTTCCCTTAAGCTATGGACACAGTCATGGCCACAGCCATAACTCCTTGCACCAGTAACCACCACCATGACTTCCAACCAAACTCTGTGTGCCCAGTGTTGTGCTGGGGGCTTCTCAGGAGTCATCTTTCATCAGCCCTGTAAGGCAGGTGTCACCCCCATATGCAGATAGGAAAATAGGTCTGAGAGATAGTGTGATTTGTGCAAGATCCTATAGCCAGAGTGTTACAGGGCATGTTGGGCGCCAAATCTGTTACAGGACAGAGAGAGGGGCAGCCCAAACCACACAAACCTGCCTATTTTAAATGGGTTCTGCCATCCACCACATCAACAAAAAACATGAGACTTTAATGGGAAGGAACTTTAATACAATTTGGAAACAATACAGGAAAGGCAAAGAATCTAGTTTTTAAATCAAGCACCCAAAATTACCCGTCCTCTTGTGGGTAAAACTCCATCCAAATGGGATTGGCCCAGAGCAAGGCCCCAAAGCCTGCCACAAGTCTAAAGCATCTTCCAGTGGGGACCCACAGAAAAGGGTCAGAAACAATCAGACAAGCCCAGAAGGAAAAGAGCAAAATTAAAATCAAGATGAAAGCCGCCATTGTCACCTCCCCTCAGGTCTCACCCACATCTGTGTCACCCAGTCCACAACCTAAAGGCAAGCGCAGTTTCTTCACGTGTCTCTAGGCTCCATGTGCCTCCACCAGGTCTCCTTCTGGCTCCATCCTGCTTCCTTCCTCAGTCTCCTCTGCAGCTTCTTCTCTCCCTGCTCAGCTCCACCCTCCCTTGCGTGGGACAGGGAACCTGGAACCTCCCCCTTTCCTGGGGACCACCCTGTTACAAGAGGACTAACCTGGTTTGGTTCCAGCCCTGCCTATGATTTCCTGGCGACACAGCACCAGCCCTCCTTTGCTCCATCTGCACAAGGAAAGCTGGATTGTATCTTCTCTCCAGGCGGACATTCATGTATCTACCTACCTACTTGGCCTGCACTGTGCCTCATGCAGAAACACCTACCCCACCCTCAGGCCTCATGAAGATACCACCTCTAGCTCCTGGAGTGGATGTGGGACCTCCACCTGGCTATTCAGACCATGATCTCCCAAATTGCAATCACTGGATCCAGATGGGCATGTAGCCCAATGAGAAGTTTTGCCTAGGAATTTTGCCTGGGAAAGGTACCATCTTCCTATTAGGGTTGATCTGGCAAATAGAGGAGGACCTAAGAACATTGCCCAGGGCCCTGGATCCAGCCACACCTGACACTTGAAATCATGATTCTTCAGTTTCTTGAGTCCCTAAATTACTTCTTATCAAAATTGCTTTGAGTTCATTTCTGCTGACTGCAGAAGAGCCCATGCTGATCTCATTAATTCCAAGGCTAGGCAATTATGTTCCATGGTTTGTATGTCCCCAAGGCCAGCTGTGTGTCAATGCAGTGTCCAGTGAATGTACCAGGAACATCAAAATAGAGTTGTTTGGAATATAACCAAGATGGCCCAGGCCCCCTGCTCTGAGAGCATCCACTAGCTTGGCACTGGGAGGTGTCTGGGGCAGAGGGATGGCAAAGGCCAGTGGCACCCTAAGGGAGACAGAAAGGGTCCTGAGGGTGTATCAAGGCTCTGGAAGGGCCTGAGAGCCCAGGAGGGGTTTTAGAGACAGGTGTTAAGGAAGGACTGTGAGGAAATGGAGGTCAACCGTGTCACCCCTCCTAGGGTGTATTGGTTGTGGGGGCGGGGCCCTCTGTGCTTTCCTCATTGCCCTAGCTCAATTTGAGGGGTGGGAGGAGCATTAGGATGATCCCATTTTAAGCCCTGATTGGGTGTGTGACCGCCCCCACACACATCACTTCCCGCTGTACCTACTCTGAAGGCACCTCTTCTTGTCCTTCCATTTATCCACCATGCAGCCATTTAGCCAGCAAACATGGATAGCTTTCTGTGAGTCAGGCCTTGCACAGGCAATCCCCAGGTGACAGACTAACCCTGGCCTAAGGGATCAGGTCAGAGGCAGATGGGCAGCTTAGTAGGATAACAGCATACTTCCCAAGAGCTGCCTTGGTGGCTAGCCCTGTGAGCTAGTGGGGAGGGGCAACTGTGAGGTGTCCCAGGACTCCCCATCACCCACAGCCTTTGGTCATGACCTCTATTAGCCAGGACTGATAGTTCTCTCAGAGAGGTCTGGGCAAGGTTCTGACTGTCAGATCCCCCAGCACCCAAGTCCCAGGGGCTCTCTTTATGTTGCTAATTTATACCTTATTTGCATACACATCTTGCCCTTTACGCTTGGTGGGAGCTCCAACTAGCCACTAGGGGGCACAAGAGGCAAAGGCTTGGCCAGGTATTGGGCAGTCATTGTCCAAATTTGGACCCATGGGGACATGAAGGTTGGGGCAGGTTACCTCCTGCACTTAACCACCCTATATGTCTTCGGTCCTACTTTTCAGAGCCAACAAAGGCTCCACAGGACCAGATTACACAGCAGAAACTCACACTGCCGCCAGGAGGAAAGACCCTAGAGAGGGTTTGGCATTCTCAGACCCCCAGTAGGAAGGACTTGCTCCTAGCAGAACCAAGTTAGATGAGCAGCTGGGAGAAGAGTAGGCTCCCATGCCACTGCACATCTGAACAGGATTCATAAGGATAGGGTTCTCCTCAGACCTGGAGGGGACCTCGGGTAAGTGTGGGCCATCCATCCTCCTTAGAACTCCTGGGTAAAGTAAAAAGGAGGCCCACAGGGCCAGTGACATGCCTCCAGTTGGTCCTCAGTGGTCAGGACAGGTATCAGAGTCAGTTGTGGCTTTTTGTCCCTAGACCCTGATTCAAGCTGGGTTTTCAGGCTTGCTCAGCACTCCTAGCGCTCCTATCCCTGGGAAGCACTTTCCCTGTTCTGCACCCAGTGAGGTCTCTGGATGCCCCTCCACCAGTCATACCTCTCTAGGGTTCCCCAATTTGTCAAGAAACCCATGGAAAGAGCCATTTGGTTCCACCACACCATGGGAAAGATAGAGCTGAATCCCCAACACCCTGGGTCAGCACTGGGCTGCAAAACAAAATGCGGGTATTGGAACCCCAAATGGAAGAGGGATGGAGAAGGTTTTAGAGGAGAACAATTGGAGATGGGCCTTGAAAAGCTCCCCCCACCCCCTGCCCCAAGAGAAGGGGCTGCTATTGTCTCCACTTATCACTTGAGCAGACAGAGGAGTGAAGTGACTGGTCTGACATAGGAGTCAGAGCTGGGAGAGGGACCCAGGGTTCTCTTAATCCCGAGGCCCTGCCAGTTGGCTCACATTGTCTTTGCCAAAGAGGGTCCTTCGAAGTCTTCGCCTGCTGACTCTGTGAGAGATAGACTGAATGAGGGGGGCTTGAGGAGAATAGCTTCTTGAATTCGTTACCCCCCTAACCTGCCTCTTCCTTCTTTCTCCTGCCCCCCCCCCAACTTCCTGGCCCACCCCTCTGGTCCTTCCACACCTTTCCCCCTCCCTCTTCCCCGCCCCTCAGGCCTCCCTTCCACCTTTAACCTCTTTCTCCACTCCTAACTACCTCATGGGAGATGGAGATCCATCCACACAGGTGTCATAGTGATGGGGAGGATATAGGACAGGAACAGGGCAAAGGCAGAAAGGTGCATTGTTGTAGGAAACAGAGTGTGAAAGGAGCTAGAATTTGACCAGCATGGGAAGGGGGCATGGAAGCATGAATGGTGGGAGGGGGTGACTTGGGAGGGACAGGAGTGGGAGGGGCCCCAGTGGTGGAAGGGGATGGGATAGGCTAAATAGGGGATAGCCCGGGCAACTCAGCTCAGGCTGATCCTTCCCGCAGCACCTGCTGCTCCCAGAGCTGCCCCAGCTGCCACCCTCACGTAACTGGAGCCTGCCTGTTGCATCAGAGGCAGGCGGGCAGCCACGGGTAAACAGAGCGGCCCTTGGGGGGCCTGGGGCTCCCCAGCCACCTCCACACTCCCAAGCCTTGTTCTTCACCTTGGAGCCAAGTCAGAAGCCCCCAGCCTGGCCAGGCCCTGGTCTGGCCTTGGGATACCTGAGTGTCTGGCAATGGACACTGTCGGCGGGGGGTAGGGGCAGGACCCCTGGTCCGACCTTCTCACCTTATGACAAAGTGTGAACCCTAGTTTTTATGTCCAAAGAGAAAGCTGCCCATACCAGGGATCCATACTGCCCATGTAATAGTTGGGTAAATTGAGGCATGGGGAGAGGTATAAGCCTCCCAGGACCCCTATTCTTTGCCTCAATGTCATACACACACATCGCCTCACGTCCCCCTCCAAGAGTCCAGGGATCCAGCCATCTCCTGTTGCCTTCTGAGAAGATGACCACCAGGCAGCCCCTGAAACTTGTCTCCTTTCCACCTTTGTCTGCACAAATTGACCCTCTCTCATCTAGGGTCCTCTCCCAGCCCAAACTGCTTCCCCCCTTCACTCTGGTTTTATCTCCTTCATCTCTCCCCAGCAAAGATACTCTGCACTCTTCATCTGCACTTTTGCCAGTTAGTCCTGCTTAGAAAAACTTTTCTCCCAGGTGAAAAACTCCTATTCATGCTTCAAGGCCCGGTACGAAGGCCCCTCTTCTGGGAAATCTTCCCTGACCCTTCTGGCCCAGTCCTGAATGCACAGGGCTGGAGGAGTGTTCCAGCACTGCCTCACTGAGACAGGGGGCTCCTTCAGGATCACCCAGTCTAAAGTCATCTTCATCCTGTAATTTTGTTCAGGTTGCTTAATTTACCAAATTCCCTTTGATCTCCCTCTGGGCCTGCTTTTGGGCCTGTGCTGGGTAGCCCTGGATTTAGTGGTGGTCTGATCTGGGGCCTGGCCCTGGAAGCCCCTCCCTCTCACCTGACCTTTGAAATTACGGAGGGCACCCAGCGGTCAAGAGGCTTATCTAGGCAAATGACCAGAAGGCATAGTTGGAAGGAGCCTGTGTGCCCATGCAGATAACCCAGAGATCCTTTTTCTAGTGTCTCTCCATTTGGGTGAGAGCAAGGAGGAAAGTGAGGGTAAGGGTGAACATGAGGTGGAGGCTGAGGTGGAGGGCAGGGGTCAGGGTTATATTTCAACTTGGAGTGACTCAGGGATTGGGGCTGATGTGGCTAGAAACAGGATCAGAGTCACAGTCGTTTCAGGGTCATAGTAGGGTTAGGGGCCCCACTATGAGGTGAAAGAAGCCTGGTGGGTTTGAGCTGATCCTCTCCCCAACCTTCCCTCACTCTTCCCTCAGTGCCTTCCCACCTTCCCGGACAGCCCCTGGGCCTGAGCTCCGGGGGTGGGGCCACACCCAAGTGCCCGCCCATCACAGCCCTTGGCACGCCCTCTTGCATACGAGCTCTGCCCTGGCCAATCAGCTCGGGAGGGGCAGGGCCTCCTCTGAAGGCACCTGCGGCTGCGACAGAGCTCTGAGTAGCTGCGGCCCCTTCGGTGCGTGAGTGTGCAGTGTACAAGCGTCCCGGGCAAGGCCAGCAGGTGCGTGTCGCGTGGAGCGGGGGTTTCTGTGGTGTGCCTTAAAGAATATCTGTGGACTGGAGTGTGGTGGGGAGTGGGGTCCAAGTGCACTGCCCTGATTCCTAGAGTTGTGTCTCAGAGGTGTGCTTCCTATGTTTGTGAGTCTGAAGAGTTGTGTATCCCAGGGATTGAGTTCACTAGGTTGAGTCCAAAGTATATCTGTGTCCAGGGGGTTGTGTGTCCAAGGGATGTGCCTGCAGGTTTGATGTCACTTGAGGAGTTGAGTATCCGGAGTTGTGGTGCCAGGAGCCCCCAATATGAGTCTGTGAACTTCATGTCTCCCCTCCCAGGGCATTCCTCTTTGATCATCCTCAAGGTCCCTGTGCCTTCCTGGTGTGGGTGTACCTTCATGTGCAGGGCACAAATCTGTGTGTGGCATGACCACCCACATATGCCTATGATGGCCTCAGTTTTGTGGGGTCTGCACCTCATGCAGGAAACATGAGGCTGGGCTGACACACTCCTGTGTGGCAGGAGCCAGAACAGTAGGCATGGAGTCCTAAGGGTGTAGGGGGCACAACCTCCTGGGCCACCACCTTATAAGTGCCTCAGTTTCCCCATCCGGGACATGGATACACAGCCCTCAGATGTCAGTACACAAGTGGTTGTATTACATTCACAGTCATGGTCCTCCCTACCACTCTCAGGGTTCAAAGTGGCAGATATCAATGAACCATCAGGGCCCCTGTTTGCCCCCAGCCCCAACCGCAGACCTGAGAAATCAGAAATGGCTGTAACCTAGTGCCTGGGAGGGCCAAGAGTCCTCGCTTAGGCAGGTCAGAGCATCTGGACCTTTGATGTTCAGAAACAAGAACTCTTAGACTCTTGGGGTGAAGGCAACTAGGTTTAAGAAAGTATTTATTTATTTTTCTAGAAATCCTATTTTTTTAAAGATTTATTTATTTAGGGCCTCCCTGGTGGCTCAGCGGTTGAGCGCTGGGTTGCGAAGCTGCCCGTGGCCTCTGCGGCGCCGGTTCGATCCCCGGCTGCTCCCCGGCCACTGGAGGAGGGTCTCACATGGCGCGCAGACCTCTCCTGCCGCCCGCTGCTCCCCTCAGCAGTGTACTTCGGTCCTTCTGCCTGCTCTGCTCCCCGCTCTGGCTCTGGTGAATTCTCTCACCCTCCCGCGCTTCTGACTGTACCCAGTGCATGTATAAACAAAACAAACAAACAAACAAATAAATAAAACATGCCTCTATAAAGGAAAAGGGAACGTTAAAAAAAAAAGATTTATTTATTTATACAAGAACCGGGGGTACAGGCCAGATGCATGGGAGGGTGAGAGGATTCACCAGAGACAGAGCGGGGAGCAGAACAGGCAGACTGATGAAATACACTGCTGAGGGGAGTAGCGGGCGAGACAGGAGAGGTCTGCCTTGCCATGTGGGACCCTCGCTGGTTGGCCAGGATCAAACCGGTGCTACAGAGGCTGCGGACCGCTTCACAGCACGGCACTCAACCGCCTGCACCACCAGGGGAGCCCTTAAGAAAGTATTTAGACTTGGACTGCTGGTGCTTGTTTTTGGAGGTCAAAGAAACTTTGGGGAGAGTGAGCCCCATTCCCTCATGTCCCCATGTCTGCCTCCCATTGCCTCTCTGAGCCAGGGAGTGAGTCTTGGTGCCAGGGAATAGAATTTGGGGACATTTAGGGCCCTGGAGCCTCTGCTCTGAAGCTCCCACTTTGCAAAAGAGAAGACTGAGGCCATGTGAATATGCCAGGCTCTCAGAAACAGGATGGGCTCAAGACCACTCCTCAGTCACCCAGAGAACAAAAGCCTGGCGTGAATGGCCCCAACTTCCTCTCTTCCCATTCTATATGACCTCAGGCAAACCACCAACCCTCTCTGAGCTCCATCATCGCTAATCCTGTGACTTGAACAAGTTGAGCCCAATCTTTCTTCCCATCTCCAACTAAGGATCTATTTCCTTAAATCATTCCCACCAGGTCAGGCCAGACAGCTGGAAACAGCAAACTAAGAGGAGAACGGGAATCAAAATAAACTCAGATGCAGTGAATGTAGACATGTTGGGAATCTGGCTTTCTGGAAGATTTCAGGCACATATGCACCTGGCGACAGATGTCATTTTGGGGAAAGGAAATTGTATGCCTGTGACCCCATTTGGGGTTGGAGAGCCCTGCCCTAACAACCCCTATGGGGTGCACACAGAGGGTCCCATTTGTCAGCCCCAAAGAAGGCTTCCCTGGGCCTGCAACTCAGGGGCTTGTGAGACTGTCACCCCAGGTTCAGGACTGAGTGTCTCATACACCAACAGTGCACTGGGTCCACTTCCCAGACTGGACAGGGAAAAGAGTTGTCTAGGAGGAAATAACTCTAGCAAGAATACAAATGAAGAGTCCAGAGTATCTTTGCAGGGTGGGGGGAGATGAAGGAGATAAAGCCAGAGTGAAGGGAGAAAGCAGCCCTGGGTACAAGCCCAGGTTTCTGGAGGATCCATAGGTCTTTCTGTGTGGCCCTAGGAAGAAGCTACTTCCTCCTGGCAAAACACGTATGTATCTCTGCTTCACTGGTCTGCTGGCACTTCTGGAAGGTCCTGTGTGTAAATGAGGTGGCACTTGGACCCAGGCAGATGGTTGGTGCTCAATAACAGCAGGTGCCATCTGATATGACCTAACAGCCCCGTAGACTTCACCCACCCTCTGTGTGAGCCCCATAGACTTCACCCACCCTCCGTCAGCACCCAAAATGACCTCAGGCCTGTGTGACCACCCTCTTCTCTAGGCCCATGTTTACTCAAGGCTGAGGTAGGACCACCAAGGGAATGATCAAGGTGGCTGACAGGAGTCACCACTGTGAGCACAGATCTGCCCCATTCACTTTTTACACCCACAGCTGAACACTCCACCTCGTACCCCAGCGTGACTTCTTTGTGTGTCAACCAAATCTTCTGAAAACCTTGGATCAGACTATAGTCCTTCCCTGCTCATATACCCTCCATGGCTCCCCATTGCTCTACAGGCCATACTTTCCACCCAACTCCTAAGGCCCCTTGCTTGCCTCCTTGGTGTCCATCTGTCCCTTGCTTACCCCACTTCAACCACACAGGCTTCCCCTGCCCCAGAACCCTTCCAGCAACTCCCACCTTAGTGCCTCTGATCTGTCATTCCTTCACCAGGCTGTCTCTCCCCATCCCTACATGCTTGGTGACCGCCTTGAGGCCCCCTTCTCA